ATTTTTATCAGTTATTTCAGATTTCCATCATAAACCATCAAAACAATCCAATCATGTCTTTATTTATATTCATTCCTTTGCATTTATATTTAAACAGTGGTACCTTGGTAGTCAACTGCTTTGAAACTCATCAAATTTGGTACTCAACACATTTTAACATGAAAATTTTGTCCCAGTATTCATCATTTGCTTCGTACTCAACACACAAATTAGAACTGGCCAGTGTTGGCTGCTTTGTGACTTTCTAAATTATTCCTTATGGGAAAAATTTGTTTGGTACGCATCATTTTTGGTACTCATCGCGCCTCTGGGAACCAATTAATGTTGAGTACTGACATACCACTGTATTTCATTCCTTTGTACATATAGACTTCTTACACCACATTTTTGAAACAGATCTTTTTATAAGCAAATACTCACCCATTCTTTTCATGTGTTACAACAAACTTTCCCCAAATCATATTCATTTAAAATATTGCACATTTTCCCTTCCAGATTTCTCTCTCATGTTCCATTTTGACCATTCTCTGGCTCATAACTCTGCAACTACTACTACGTATAAATTCTTGCTTTCAAACCTACCTGCAACAACCTACAGGACATTAATTACTTCTTGACATAAATTTTAGCCTCCTGCCATAATAAAATCTTCATTTTCTTGAATATATCCCATTCACTTTTATTCAGATCTCCTACAATGCTGTTTGCTGTTGTTAATTGAATCCCATGGTCATTTGGTGAGGCAACTTCCTTCTGGCTCCCCATCACTAAAGTCAATGGGGAAGCCTGTAGGAGGTTGCGTGTTCCAGGCTAGCAGGCAGGTAAGCGACTGCTGCCAGATAGGCGAATGAATGAAGGAGATTCTCTGTAGTGTAAGGACATTAAAATGTCTGTAAAAGAAAATAACTAATTCATGTGACTGATGACATGAGGCCTGGGTTTCATAATGAGAGGCAAGCAAAAATTGATTAAGAATGGAGAACACTTTATCTGAGAATGTGGATGAAAAACCAATACATTCTATACACCTATTACACAAATCACATATGCCATTGGAGGGCTTTATTCTTTTTCAAATATCACATTGAAAGTGAAAGTTCCCTCCCCACCATGCTCAACTGATTTTAATATCAGAAGCAAAGAAGCAAAAAGGACTTTTGGCAAATTGACTGCTCCCTTTGGCATAGAATGGAGAATTGTGCCCTCCTCAGGAGAGACCTGGTAATTGGAAAGAAACGTTTTAGAAATTTCACCCTGAAATGTCCAAGAAAAATTAAAAGCCTCCTTGCAGTAACTGCAAGCTTCAACAGATATAACTAGCAAAGTCTCTATTTATATCAAAATGACACGTATGGAATGGCTGCAGGATCGGAGTATGAAATTAGGGTATATATCTAACGTTACCAAATATTTAGACAGATGAGTGGGAGATGAATGTAGCCACCTCATATGTTTTTACAAAGACATCTCAAATGCTTGAGATTTTCTCATTGAACATACTAAGAATTGAAGTCCTGCAATTCAGCTCAGAAAAAAAGGCTGAGCTGAAGCAGATTCATTATAATTTTTTTTCTATTGAGAAGCTAAGGAATTTACACATAATACTGGTAGAGGATAGAGGCCACTAAAAGGTTCATTGTTAATATTTTGACAACTTAATTTTCACAAAGAAGATTAAGATCAATAAAACAAAAATAAAGATTATTACTAATTTTATATAGTAAGCCTTTAATTGATGAAAAAGGAGTGGTTTAGCACAAGCAAGCTCAGTTGCAATGATAAGGGGATGTGTCCTTTCTCCTAAACTTTTCTCCATTCTTGATCAGTTGAAAAGGCTACATTTAGTGGAAGAGATATTGTTGAAGCCTGCTCCTCTCTGGTTCAGTGTCTGCTCACTTTGACCTTTGTGTATCAGATTATCTCCAGTGTTGTTGCTGCTTCCTTAACAGAAGCCAGGTCAAATAGATGGGTCATGTTGCACTGGCCTGAAACTGAGGGATATGTTCACTTTTTCTCCACAGAGAAGAAGAAAGGACTCCGGTTTTCCTCCTGTCTCCCGGGATACTGTATTTTAAAAATATTCAGCTGTGCTTTGAAAATAAAAGTGAAACTCCTCAACATCTAAATCTGTCTTCTACTTCAGGAGGTCAGGTGCTAAAATTGCCCAAAAGAGCATAACCCACACATCTTAAAGTTGCTGAGGTTGAGAAACATTGATTAAATGATTGTAAGGGAGCCATTTTGTTGCCTCTGGCTAATCAGTGATCAATATCCCCCTCTCCTCTGAAGGATTCTCGGCAACTATTACAAACCAAGTTCTGCTGGCTACCAAAGGCAGAAAATTAAATAGCTATTTCTCGTTCTTCCATAGTAATCATAAATGAGCTATTTTTTGTCACTTTCTAGGACTCAAAGTCATTTGCTTTGGTTCACATCATGGCAGAATCCTACATATAAGATTCAAGAAGCATTGTTACCTGGAATTTTAGGCTTTATTACCATTTTAATAAAAGTAACATTAGCCTTTTAGCATGGCACCCATGTTTCCTTTTGAAGTTTAGAAAACCATGTTTTTCATTTAGTCAAAGCAATTTCCAGTGATGTGGAAGAACGGGCCTATTCAGAAACTAAACAGGAGGCCTGTATTCCAAAGTCTGTGAGTGTTGCCAACTTTTAAAGAAACAAGCTGAGATAGGAAAGGAGGAGATACAACATTCCGCCAATTAAACTGATCTGTTTGGGGGGTACACTGGTATAATTCTAAATCGTTTTTTAACTGGGTTATTGATTTTAATTTTGTATTGTATTGTGATTTGTATTGAGGTTGTCATTTTGTAAGCCGCCTTGAGTCCCTAGGGAGAAAGGCGGCATATAAATAGCAATAAATAAATAAATAAATAAACAAACATAAATTAAGGATGTTTTTTTCTCACATCTAACCCAATGTCTTTTATTATTTGATTCATTGCTTTCTGATCCATCACATATATTGAATGTATCATTGGTTTCTGAACCCTATATAAAGACCTGACCCCACCTTAATAAAATGTTGGGTTTTTTTGCTTTGTCTGAAGTACTTTGTCAGGGTGTGTGCATGAAAAACCCATTTTGCAGAAGTATACAGTATTTCTCAAATTTAGGGACTGGGTTCTTTCCTGTTCTACATCACTTGGGTGCCTGAATTTTAAAGGCAACAGCGTCATTTTTCCTAGTACGTTTACTATCACCATTGCGGAACTGATTTAGTATCCCAATTATTAAAAATGGCCCTTGTAATTGAAAATGCCAAATAAAACAGGTTAGTAACATGGTTATTAAGTGAATCTGGCTTCCCCCACTTTGTCAGATGGTCGCAAAAGGTGATCACATGATCCTGGGACACTGCAGCTGTCATAAATATGAATCAGTTGCCAAGAGTCTGAATTTTGATCAGATTGTTTAGAGATGCTACAAGTCTGTTGGGTGTAGGTAGAGGACCAAATATCTAATCACAGCTTTGTTGAAAACTGGAAATCTCTTATTTTCAAAGTGCAGGTGAAAATACTGAGAATAAGAGAATTCTGGAGCTCCGATTGTGTCATGATTGACACAACTGGCCAGTGTAACACAGCATATAAAAACAGTGGCATTTAGTTAAAGCAGATAAATCCATCTTTCCCTCTGCCCTGCCCTTCCGAGAAAAGATTGGTATGCAACTTATTGCTGTGTTTTCTAATTTCCCTACCATTCTAAGTTCAGCTCTCAGCCTACTACACTACAGCTTCTGTACATTATGAAATGTAGACAAATGTGCAGTTAAATTCCCATTGGAGTTAATCAAGGGCTTCCAATAAAACTCAACTGGCACCCATTTCTTATTTTTACTTCTCCTCTGCTCCAGAGAAAATTCCCCATCATGTCATTTCCTCCATGTAGTGGCCAACTAGAAACATGTACAAGAAAATAACTAAGCTCAGAGAGCATCAAAGACCCCTCATGTCACCCGAGCTACAAATATTCTCCTTTATTGAGCCATTTTTATCTGTGGATCACTATTCTAGATGGCTTTTGTTCAGACTTCAATCATGTGGGTAAGAGATGTTAATGAAGACCACATTCTCAATTCTTTCCATTGTATGGTTATGAACTGACATAACCATACAAAGCCTGGGTGAGAAATTCATTTTTCAAAGAATGTATTATCTTGCATCGATTTAGCATTGATTCAGTGGAGTAACAAATTCTCAGCGTGGAATTTCTTCACTTCCTAGATGACAATTACACATTACAGGGCAGGTAAGATTTACCTGAGTGATAAATGCTTCTTTTATATGATAAAGAATAATGAACATCAGATAAAACCCATTTAGGTCAGTGGGTCAGAACTGTTTTTGTAAGTGGATAACTTTGCATGTAAATTTAGGATTTACAGAAGTCTTTAAAGTATCTCAATCTACAATCATATCTCAAGGAACTCCCAACATGCCAAATTCATAATTTAGGAACTTCTAAAGAAATGTCTTGGAGACATGTATTGACACTTATTAGAAAGCGGCTTTTTAAAGAGAAAAATTTTCTGAGTCAGCCCCTTTCCTAATTCTAAACTAAAAATGCAATCTCAGCTTTTCCCTGCTATATTGTTTTAAAGGTTTATGTATTCTTCAGCTGGTCACTATTGTTAATATTCAACATTTTGTATCGTTATATACGTACCGGTAGCTTATTTAAGATACCATCAGTTATTTTTTGATACATTAAATTCAAAAAGTTTAATTTAGGATGAAAAACGCAATATTGATTTTGGCCATGGTCACGAAACTATTTTGTCTCTTGGATGGATCTTGGATTGTTTTATTATGAGTTACTCCAAGCTTTGGAGCAGCAAAATATATGCGTTTTAAGGTTGGTAATGATAAACCTTATAAACACATATTCATATTCATATACATATATACACATACACACCATATGCGCGCATTCACAGATGTACACATCTTTAAAGAAAGCAAGCAATACAGCTCTTTTCTGAGTATATTTTTTTCTCTGGAATGGTTACTTTTCCAAATTTCAATTCAAACTTTTTTTTTTTTTAATTTTAAACCATTCCATGTTATTTCTTTATTGCAAAAAGTCAACATGCATCTTAGAAATTCAAAGTGTAATCAATAAAACAAACATTACATGTATGAATTTAAATGTATAAACAGTTAGAAATCCAACAATATCTCCTAATATACTATTACACAAGTTCACAATCTTGTAAAAACTATAATACAAGTTAATGTACATTGAGAGGAATTTAATATTCCTTTTCACATGATTTCATTAAAAATGTTGAAGCATCTCCACTGTATGTGGGCAATTATGGTTTGTTTGTTTTTTGAAAAGTTTCAGATGCTGTGCATTTTTATATGTAAAGATTAAAAAATACACCACAGTTAAACCAACAGTTTATATAGTAGTAGCATTAATATTTGTAAAGCTTTAAGGGGATGATTCACTGAGCATTTACATTATGACATTCTTTTTAATGCCAATAGAGTGATACATTGCTAAGTGGTTAGAAAGGGATATTTTATATATATATAGTAAAGTTTTATTAGAATACCTAGCTTTCAAGGTACTTTGCGGGTGTATTTATATTATGCTTTTTGTTATGGCTTATGACTATGAAAAGGACAATTTCACAGCAGGTGGTACCAGAAGTTACCAGTAACACAATAGTTTTTTTTAAACCAAGTTCTAATACACAACACAGGGAGTTTCATAGCTACATCAAAATGAAGGTCACTTTGAACTAGTTTCCTATTTTCTTTTTAAGTGAGTTACCACTATGCTGCCCATTACTTACATTCTCAGTAACACAATAGTATGCTTTCAATACATAAATTTAGGGGCACAACTCAGTTTTGTGCTTCTAGGCTGAGAAATTACATTTAAGTTGTCACTAAAGGATTTATGCGTGTCAACTTATACTGAAAAACACAGGAAAGAAAGCAAAGATGGGAAAAAGTTTAATAAATCTCTGTTGGCCCCTGTCTCTTCTCCATGAAAAAAGCTAACACTTTTGAGTAAAGATATTCATTCTCCTGAACAGCATGCTAACAAAAGTTATCTAAAACCATATGAAAAGGAATCCCATCCAGTCTAACTGTTCCAAAAGCTAAGGAAATTTCTCTTACAGCTTCGTTCAGTCAACTGTAATCTTCCAAATACAAAAATACAAGAATTCTTATGGAAATCTAGATGCTGGTAGTTTTTAGTACACAAAAAAAGCAAAAATATTTACAAAATTATACAGTTCTAAGAAAAAACCCTGTACAGTATATATATATATATATATGTGTGTGTGTGTATATATATATATTTCTCTTTCTATATATATATATGTGTGTGTGTGTGTGTGTGTGTGTATCTCTATATATGTATACATAAACCCTTTGTTCCCTCTATTATTAACTAACTGTCCAGATTCAAGCATTTTCTTGCTGAGTCAATATATGTGATGGCCACATACTGAGCCATAAGCATTCTAAAGATATCACAGGCAACGGGAGAAAAGCAAGGCTTTGCCTGTTAAAGTGTGTGCAATATTCGTGCTTTATTGTCATAACTTAATTCACTGAGATTCAACATTAGTAGGAATGTAGCAATAATCTAGAACACAAAGGCCTTTACATAAAGAGCAAATAAGAGCTGGTAGCATATACTCTTATTCACTTACGGATGGAATTCAAATGGGATGTGCTTTTATAACAATGTACATAGTTCCCAAAATGTGAGGAAGGAAAAAAAAAGTTCTGGTAGCAAGATCTGAAACCTAACTTAGGTGTTTGGACACTTAGATTCAATTAAATACCACTATGCTAATCTGAATGTAAGAAACCTGAAGATATAATTACATTTTTGAATTAATGAATGCAGAGGTGCCATGGGAATTGATACAGTAACGTTTGCCTTGCTTCATCAATCTTAACTTAAATGCAGTGACATCATATGCTCCTTGCATAACCTGCTGCTCTTATCTATGACTAGGATGGGGATAACAATGGCCCTTCAAGTGTTTCTAAGTACTGTCCTTAAAGTCACAGTCAGAATTCCTATAGTAGACTATCTGGGGAGCTTTATCAGACAGCTACACTTCCTCACCACTGACTATGAGAAATAGTATACAAAAGCACTAAGAGATGATCCACAGGAGGACATATTTAGAATTAATAGCAGCAAGAGACATGGGATATAAAGATCTATTGCCCTTGCAGTAAAAAAAAAAAAAAAAGTAACATAAAATCTACCAAATCTACACCATGAACTACCGGTATTTGGTTTTTTTTTTTTTTAAAGGGGGAAGACTAGACATATTTTTATCAGCATGCGGATAAAAAATGCTTAAATCAGTGTTTTACTTTTTTCCTCAACTCAACATTAATTTTTAATGTGTTATAACTTGAACCCACAGTATTATTTTAAGTGCTGGCTTAGTATCTATCATTTTAAAACAAGATTGTTTTTGATTTGCAATTCTGTGGGTTGCAAGAAATACATTACTTGGAACAGTGCATTGGCTTTTCCTTAAAAAATAAAATCCAGCCATTAATTATCCTGAAGCGAGTTCTAGAGATAGGGCATTTTCAAAACAAGTAATTTCACATTACCAATACTGTTAAAAAAATATTCCTGCTGTTGTAATTTTTAATAGTTTTTTAAGGCTGATACGTTCCACTGAACTAAAATGTGAAATCACAGCAGAAGTGGTTGGTCAGTTGCATTCCTAATGGCAATTAAAAGAATGTGTAAAGATGGGGAAAAAACAAAAGAAAAGGAATCACCATCACCAATGCTGGCAAGAACTGATAACCATATTTCGGATAGTGGAATATATGAAAACAGCTCATTCACAAACATATGTGCAATTCCTGATTGTTTTTCAGTCAAGATTTACTTAAGCTGCCTGCCACCCAATGAAAGGAATTCTGAATTAACAAATTCTAGACAATGTTGATGAATTTGACTTATTGTTCTCATCTCAGATTCCACATTGCTAACAAAAACTATGAAGTCATTGATATTTAATAAAACAAATTGTTACTTTGAAATCAGAATGAACAAAAGTTGGGCTTGAAAGACTAAATATATTTCACTTTTATAAGATCACAACCATTTTTACAGCTTTGTAGAAGCTCTGGGCCTTTGGCTGATCATAGCTACTTACTTGCTAAGTTTACATATCAAACACATGTTATCTTAATGTATATATTTATAAAAAACAAAAAACAAAAACAGATTTTTGGCTCATGGATTTCCTTTAAATATTTTTTAAAAATTTGAGTTCGAACAATTCTAAAATTATATGCTTCCTCTTGAAGTTTCATCTTCTCCAAGAACGGGATTCATCTTCATCTTCATCTTCATCATCATCATCTTCAGGTAGAAATAAATCTGATGTTTCTGTCTCCTAAAGAAAGATAAAATTTATTGTGGTTATAGAATTATAGTGATTTTAAAGTCCTTCATAAGACTATTTTTTCTTGGGATGATCTTTGAAGAAATCTAGCCATTTTGGAATCAACCATGCAAAGAAATGCTAACAAAAATTCTAGCGGTGGAATGGCAGCAATACTGAGTACTATGAAATCAATTAATTATATTTATTTATCAAATTTAGAGATCGCCATCTCATTCTGGAAAGAGTACAAGTAAAAATATTTTTAGAATTAATACTTGTCTAATGCTTGATCCATCTGTAATGGCCTGTGAGAATAACCTTGACAGAAAGGACAAAGAAGGAAGAACTGCAGCTTAGAGAATGGCCAGACAGGAGATATCTCAGGCCAAAAAAGGAATGAGGGAGAGATAGCATGTCAGAAGGGACCCTCCCTAGTCTCTGGAAAGCAGAGGCAAGGGAGGGGAGAAGTTATTTCAGACTTGCAAGATTCTGCTACAGACTTACAAATTGTAGTGTTTATATTCATGGTTTTGGTTTCCACTTTGGACTATCTCAAAGGACTGACACATCATTTCAAGTAGCTTTACTTATAATATTAGCAAAATATAGATCAGAAATATTTCATAATAAAACACAATCTGCTAATTTTTAAAAAACATATTTAAACATAGATGGCTTTCAAAATATCATTAAAAGTTATTGTTAGTACGTGTATACATCACATTGCGTTAGTTTAAAATTCAGCACAATTTACAACAGAATAATGAAAATGCAGAAACATAAATAAATTAAAACCATAAAATAGCATTCATTACAATGGTTGATGGTAGAAAGCGAATAAAAGTAGAAGAGAACTATGCAAGCAGTATTTGTAGAGGTAAGATGTGATGAAGAGACAATCTTCAACATGTGGCTGAAATATGTAGAAGTACCGTTAGGTGCCTCATGAATGTATCTACTGATTTGCTTTATATTCTGCTTTTTGTTCAGGGTGATGTACATAATGTTCCTCCTAATTTTACCCACAGGCACCACAAAGAAGTCCCAAAGTGCTTTTTCAAGAGGCAACTGGCAGTTATGTCAATAGGGTTCTAACACATGCACAGTCTTTGCTCAGTAACCTTGCTGCTAGAAATTCCTGATGATCATTCCAGCAGTTTCATATTGATGTTAAATCCCATGGAGAACAAAACAATGGCTTGTGGCTAGACTAGCATATGTTAATTAACCCTAGTACTCTCCTTTTGCATGTCAAATCACAGAAGTTCAAGCAGGATCAACAGAGCTGTATTCCCTTTGTCGTGTTATAAAATAGTGAAAATTATTGCTTATTCTGTGTTCTCAAACCAGGCCTGAACTCAGATGGAAAAAACACAGTAATAATTAATAATGTTGACAAGACCTTCTGAATCCATGGAGATGAGTTTGCTTTCTTAAGGTTGGCAGTATAATTCCAACATGGAAGAATCCATGACAATATCCATGATTTGCTCTATCAACTCTTTTCAGTTAACCTATATAAGCATAGGGAACTAAAAATCCAGACAATATGTGGAAAACCCGACAGTTAGAACCAACTTGTCCATAAACCTTAGACTATTCTAAAGAGCTCCGCTATATGGACATTTGAGAATATAACAAAAAACACAAAGCAGATATGATTATATGCATTAATTCACGTTAATTGCCTCCACAGCAAATTTACACTATTTGCATTCTTGCCACCTTCCAGTCTAATTCATTATTGACAGGCCCCCACAAATCCAAGCTGCTCAGATTCTACAATATTAGGGAAACATTTGAGGGTGACTGTACAAACGATACACTGATATTTCCCATTCCTAATGTCAATAAGGTATAGAAAGAAATATTGGATTTGTTTTCTGAAAAATTTCTCAAATTTGTACAAACCCATCAAATTCCCTAGCTCTCCATGGGAGACAACCTTAAGTGATCAATAGATGATATAAAAGCAATGGTGAACTTTACCAGACATTGGCCATGAGCACTGTAATTTCCCTTCCAAAGTAAAACCTTCAAGACTTGAGGTAAAACTAAATCAAAGGTATGCATCTCTCTATTACTGAGTCTGATGACAGCTCAAGGTAGATTTATAACTATCATAGGATCATTGTTCTGGGATCAACAGCACATCTGAAAAAAAAATTCAGCAAGTTTGACCAGAGAAATGGTTGGGCAGCAGAATAGGCCCACTGATTTGTTGTTCCAGCATCAAGTAAAGTCTTCATAGTGTGATCAGAGTTTTCTGATGGGCAAAATGGAATTCCTATTGACCAGAGCAGTTGGACCATCAGTTCATATTGCTGCTGTGTACCACAAAACCAGATGGTCAATGCTAGTTTTTAAGAAATTTTAAAGGACAAGCTATTCAAATATTATTCTAATACCTCTTCCTTGGGCTCTTCCTCCTCAGTTTCTGTAGACACAGAGGGTAATTTAGGTTTATGCCATGATATCTGAAGTCGTCGGTCTTTAAACTTTAAACCTTGATTGGCAGCCTAAAGTGGAATATTTAAGTAAGAAAATAAAGTGTGTTATATTCTAGGATAAAGCACTGGCTATACAGCATGTCTCAATTGAGATCTCAATTAACTCTACAGTGATTGATCAGTACTCCTTGTACTGCATAATCATCACTTTCCATATCAACGAATCTATGTTCTTTTCTGATAATTTAAGTTAAACATTAGTAACTGGATGAATTATAATCTATTATCAATTTAAGCACAGCAACAGGAGTTAAACATTTAATGCCTCAAAATAGTTCATTTGAAACCTGTATATATTTGCTGGTACTTTCAATTACAGAATATGTTTGCCTTAAAAAACTGGATACAGAGAGTAGTAGAACATTCTTTAAAAACTTAAACCATGTTACATACGTTTTCAGCTTCAGAGCGGGATTTAAATGTCAAAACAACACTTAAAGGAGATTCCTCCTCTTGAAGGCCTTCAATGTCTCCAAATTGCTGAAAACACAAAAGATTGAGATTTATCTTCTTTCACTGCTAAAATAAAATTGATGACCAATATATTATTAATGATTAAAGTATACATAGGCAACCTGGTGCCTTCCAAATGTTTGGACCTTAATTTCTAATCACTGGTTCAACACATGGTCAATGGGAGATGTAGACCAAGACATTTAGACAACTTTGCTACAAGAATTCTAGAAAGGCCTCTGATCTTTCTCGATAAAATTAATGTTCTTGGACAACAATCTTTTTTCTTAGCATTTTAGGAACCATATTAGTCCCCAAATATATAGGAAAAGTATACATACTTGCTCCTAAACTAATGCCAGGTGACAGCATGAGAAATCTGGGTTTTTCAAAAACATCATAATTTTGGTTGCAAATCTGATCCTATGTGTCTCTTATTTTAAAAGAATTTCTGTGGTGTTTAATGGAGCACATTCTTCATCAGGCACAATAGATACCAGATATCAGGCACAATACCAGATACTGTAGTATCTTTGAAACTCAAATTAACAAATCAATATTTATTTATATAATTGACATACTTATTTTACATTTAGGAATGCTTTTCAACTATGTTTTTGCTTTTGATAAACTTTAAGTATATTAACAGTGAAAGAGAAAGTGATGGTTCAGACAGACAGAAAACTGTTTATCAAATTGCTATTTGTAGCTCGTAAAAATCACTTAATTATCTGTAAAGAAAGGATCAAATCAGTGACAATTAGTTGGTATTAACCTTCAGCCTTAAAGCATATTGATGTTGATTGTTAGGCACATTCACTGGAGTGTAAAGGCAGTGAAAGTTAGATTAATTCCATAACTAACAAACATTGACAAGATTGTCCAGTTACAGTTCCACTAAAGGATATTAAACAATATACTGGACAATATGTGGTCAAATGAGTAAGTACAGATTAAGTACTAAAACAATTACTGCAGCTATAAAAACGAAGTTAGTTTACTTATTCTAGAATACTACACAGAAATTGAAGTATATTTGGTTTTAGTTACAAATTGCTAACTTACTGAAAAATGTTGCAGTACTTCGTCTTTCTCTTCTTCCACAAAGCCTCCAATTGTTAGTGCTTTGGGGCGGTGGTCCACTACCATGTGATTCACAATACCCCTTCCTCTCCCTCCACGACCTCGTCCTCTTCCTCTAGTTTGAGCGGACATTGCTTTTCCCCGACCAACAGGTAAGATTCCTAAACGAGCCGCCTGGGCAAAAGGAATATACGTCAATTGTTTGTGGATACTGTGTATACCTAACACCAGAATCAAGATGGCACTCTACTCTACAAACTTACCTCCACCTGTAATTGGCTAAGTTTTTTTCTCAGTTCAGTTGTATCTTCCCCAGAAGACAATCTTTTATGTAAGTCCAATTCTGCATCTAAGAGTTCTTTTTGTGCCTTTGAAAGGAGAGAAGTGGTAGCAAAGAATTCATTTCTTTTCTTCTAAAATTTTATACATTATCACTTAGGTTTCAATTTCCCAATATTCTAGGGAAAACAGGGTGATAAGTTGTATCTTGCGGGGTTTTTTGGGGGGGAGGGGGAAGGGCAGGAATCCAAAATGTGGAACAGCAAAAACTAAATAAATAATTCTATGTTAAGAGATAAAACCAAAAGAATGGATATAATACTAATACAGTGCTGATTCAGACCACATGAAATGTCTTGGGTAATCAGTGGTGTTAAATAAAAATCTGAAGATTTCAGCTTTGACAGAACAATTGAAAGAAATATGAAAGATGTATAACAAAATTAAAATATTGAAAGAAGTAGCAAACTTTTATAAATACCTAAATTTATGTAATAGTTTGTAAGCAAAGGCTATTTCTTAGTCCACAGGCGTTGAATCAACTGCAGATTTTAAAATAGAAACATGTTAAAACAATTGTATAACTTACTTCAGTTTTAGACTTTAGCTTTGATGGTGTAGAAACAACAGAGGAAGTTTTTAATTCATCTTTCAACTGAGAAATTTTTCCTGTTAGCTCTTTCAGAGTCTTCATAATCTCTGCTCTTTCCTCTGGTTTCGTGGTTTTATTCTTTTCCAATTTTGATATTAGCATCTATGAAAGTCAAAATAAAAATACCATGCTATTCTGAAAAGATTTTACACACAATCCATTAAATATGCTTACAAGTTATGTACAAAATTAAAACTTGGAAGTTAATGTTAAACAAATCATACCTTTTGACATTCTATTTGTTTCTCCAACATTTCCTGCTGTTTCTTTCTCATGTCTTGTTGCAATTTCATTGCCTCCTACCAAGAAAACAAACAAACATTGAAGTAAAAATGATTGACCTTACTATATACAATAAAGAAATGTAAATTGTATCTTTAGATGATCCAAAACATTGTCATTTGGATTATGCTATTTTCTTCTGCAGCATTATAATTCCCTGGAAGACAGTAATTATTTTTCACCACTGATATAGTCTGTGGCTTTGGTTTCAGATAATTCAAATCCAGATTGGGATTCATGTCTTGTGGAAAGCTGCTACTACTGACTTTCATCATACATGTCAACAAAGAATATCTATAAATAGCTTTGGGTTTAAATTCAAATTACGCTGTAAAAAGCTCAATGTGGCAAACAAGGCTCTAGTTGTCTCTCACTTTCCTACAACTATAATCCTTCTATGTTGAATCAATGTGGTATTTTTTTTTGACTGACTTGAGTTTGAAACACAAGCTTCTTCTTTCTTATGAGAAGATGATCCTTCTATGGACTTCAAATGCCAAGGAACAGTGGCAGACTTTACAGTGTTTGAATAAGACTATAAAACCTCTTCCAACCAAAGAGTAAACCTGAAAGGACTATTTGAATTTTTCAAGAAATAATTCTTCAGGTGGTTGATGCAAATTCTATTTCATTCAAAGGTTACAGCTATTAAATACACTGCAGTGATATGTGTTTACCTGTTTCTTTTTAAGAACTTCTTGGACATCATGAGATTTATTTCCTGTACCAGACTTATTTCCTGTCTTCATATTGGAAGAACTGTAAACCATCTTTGAATGTGTTGTTGAAGAAGGAAACAACTGAAAGCAGCAATTATGACAACACATTAATGGTGCCATTAAACTTTTTGCAACTATTTATGGTAATTATTTTAAAAAGATCAAATCAAACATTCTCAGATGGTATTTTGCCAATTATGCAAGGGTGGAATTTAGATTGTCTATTGGTGCCACTACATTACCAGAGCTGACAATTGCAATTTATATTGCATATCCAAATTTAACCAAAAGTAATAGTATTTTTTTAAAAAAAGTTAAAGTCACTATATTAAGAAACAGAAGATAATTTGGTGGCTATAGTAAAACTATTTATTCTAATTTAGGTAAGCTATCCCACCATTTAGAGATGATAGGAATTACCAGAACACCCTAAAATGTAATAATTGTGAACAAATATACTGTACAAATCTTTTTCAACCTAGCGTTTCCTTGCAGGTGCAGAGTCCATTTATCAGATTAACCAATGCCATTTCATGTGATCAAATCCAGCAAGCAAGTGCAAGTGGATGACTTTCATATCCGCATTGTATTCTGCCATCTTTGCTTTGGTTTTCTATGCAGACATTTGCCAACAATGTTAAAGTGGTGAACAGTGCAGGTGACAATCTGGGTATTGCTTGTAGTATGTGGCACAAGCCTCACATTTTCTATTATTGGTGCAATATCCATCTGCTGCCGGACCACATTGTTGATGTGGTCAAAAAGGGAAATGCTGAATGACCAACTGAGTATGCACATCTCCATGGCATGTAAAAGGCACTCAACACTATATGTTATTGGCGGACCATCAATTTATATTATTTCAGTTTTAGATGAATTGGCCTATGCCTATTGCAGAGCACTGCAGTGATCTTACTCCTCCACAGCCATGTTGCATTCACCTTCACACACACACTACCTCATTAATGCCACCATCACTTTGCAAATAAGATCCTAAGTAACTTGGAGTTTGTCTTAGTAGATCTTTGCTGCCAACCTGGATAGTGGAGGTGCTTTGGTTGGTCTCATATTTGGTCATCCTCATATTGAGATGCAAACCTAATTGGATAAGATGATCATTCCATGTCTAGATACAGTGCTGCAGTTCTTCCCTGGTGGTAGATATGAGCAGGATATTGCTGATATATGGCAAGGCCCAGGGCCATTGTGCTGTAGGTTTTGCATGAATATCCCAAAGGTGCTTTTTCAAGAGGCAACTGGACTTTCTGGGTTTTTTTCCGAAGACGTTTTGCTTTTCATCCAAGAAGCTTCTTCAGAAGCTTCCAGAGCTGAAGAAGCTTCTTGGATGAGAAGCGAAACATCTTCAAAGAAAAAACAGAAAGTCCAGTTGCCTTTTGAAAAAGCACCTTTGGGACAACCATGACCTGGATGATTGAGAATCTCCATAGACGTTTTGCATGAATATATCCATGAGGAGGATGAACATCAATGGCAATAATGCTGAGCACTGGTGCACATCAATGGTCACAGGAAAGCTGTCAGAAAGGCCGGCAGTGCATAATACCTGGCTGCTGGTATTAACATAAAGCTGATGCAAAACATGATCAAAAGCTTTTCTAGTTCAAAAAAAGCCAGTTTCTTCTTTTCTCCATGCTGAAGAATGCAAACTGTAAAAAATAGCCTTGGTTGATATTGATTTCAATGATGTCATGGAGGGGCTGGTTGAGGATCTGCTCAAAAATTTTCATTGTATGCAACAGGAAGTGGATTGGTGGGCAGTTGGAGCAGTCTGCTAGCTAATCTTTGTTCTTGAAGAGGGTAACTATGTGGCCCAGTCACCAGGCATATAGCCAACATGGTTCCAAAGAGGTTTGTGAGTCAGTCAGTCAGTTGCTGTGCTGCAAAGTTCTAAATTCCAGATGTCTGATGATGACAAGACTGTCTGGGCCAGGGTCTTTCAAATTCTTCATGTGGGTGATAGCTTTGGCAACCTCTTAAGATGTATCTTGCAGGGCTAGCATTAAACGAGCCATCAGAAATTGGTGGGTATGGAAATTCGACACTAGAGATTTCATCAAAGTACTGCTGCCGGTGTTCCCAGATTTTGAGTTCATCTTAATGTTGTCACCTAATTTTGTCTTCAATCCATAGGTAGTGCTCAATGTTCATATTGCATGCCCTGGCATGCATTTTTGCTAGTCAATAGATGGGATTTTTTTTTGCTTTCCTTTGTGTCCAACTGTTCATATTAGTCCCAATAGGGATTGGCTATGACTTCTATGAATTTCCTTTGCTGTTCTCCTTGCAGTGATAGACTTTTGCCAGTTTTCATTGGCCTTCTGCACATACCAGTTCTGTAAGCCACCTTCTTTTCCACACTTTCTGCTGCATCTGCTTGTTGATTCGATAGCAACTTAATCTCATAGTGCCAAGTGTTATTCTTGCAAAAATGGTAAGGGGCTTGAGGAGAGCAGTCCATGTGGCATCAGTTCAGCATGTGGTGATTGGAAGAAATGTGATGTGATTAATAATGATCAACTTGTAGTCTTGTAGCTTCTACCACTTGTTTTTCTCTGGACTTGCCCTGCTGCTGTCATGCTTTGAATGCTTGCTGATCTTCTTTTTGGCAATAAGCATCTTATGTTGCGGGGTGAGGCAATCTGATAAAATATTTTTTATGTCCATATTGGGGAAGTCATATTGTTGCACAAGGACAAAATCTGGAGCACTATTATTGCATTATATAATTGTACAATTTGTACAATTATACTTTGTACAAATATATTTATAATTTACAAAGCTTACATGCATTGTAAGTAATTATAGAAATTAACATGTCAATTCTTTTAGTACAAATGTCCTCTAAATGGAAAAATGCTTTGTTTTTAATTTGGGGAAAAAGCAGACCAATGGAACACATTCAAAAAATGCTTTGAGTATTCTGTTTCAGCAAATTAAGATTTTTTTTAAAAAAATCAAATATTTCAATTATAGAGAACAAAAGGAATTTGAAACAAGTCCATGTTCTCTATTTGTGTCTGAGATTAATAAAACGAGGAAGAAGGATCATCTATCATCCTTGGATCAGGGTGGATAAAAATCAATGATTTTTTTAAAAAAATCAGATTTTTTTGATTTAAATCGGATTTTTTTGATTTTTATCGAATTTATTTTAATAAAAATTTTTTGGGGTAAAACTATTTTAAGATAGTTTTCTATTTAAGATACATAAATAATTTAGTTTATTCAGCATGAAATGGAGCTTAAGTTATGTAGCATGAGGCTGTATATTCTGCAACACTGGGACTATCAGTGAGTCAACAGTGGGTCAAAGGAGTAGCAGAGATGACAGTTGCTCTTTAAAAATTATGATTTAAATCGAGTTGATTTAAATCAAGCCTTTTTACTAGTGATTTAAATCATGATTTAAATTGTGATTTAAATCAACTCGATTTAAATCAAATCCACCCTGCTTGGATGCATGTACTGCATTTCAATACAACAATCATACTGCTTAGGAGGAATCAACAACCAATTGCATTTACTTCACCAGAGCTCAGCGACTGATGACACCAAATAATTAAAAAAAAACTATCTTAGACACACTCCTTTATTACAAGCTTTAGAGAAGCTTCTTCCTCTAGCCAACGGCTCTCAAAAAACCACCCAAGCACAACATGGCAATGTATTGTATTTTGCAAACTACCTCCAAAAGGAAGTTTTAATGCCCTTTTGTATTAGTCAATGTTTAAACTGCCAAAGCTCAATATACAGTTGCAAGAAAAAGTATGTGAACCCCTTGGGATTACGTGGAGTTTTGCATGAATTGGTTATAAAATGTGCTCTGAACTTCATCTATGTCACAACAATAGAAAAACACAGTCTGCTTAAAATAATACTACACAAACATTAAATGTTGCCATGGTTTAATTGAATATAACATGTAAACATTCACAGTGCAGGGAGGAAAAAGTATGTGACTTAATAACTGGTTGACCCTCCTTTGGCAGCAATAACATCAACCAAATGTTTCCTGAAGTTGCAGATCAGACCTGCACAACGATCTGGAGTAATTGTGGACCACTCCTCTTCACAAAACTGTTTCAGTATAGCAATATTCTTGGGATGTCTGATGTGAATCGCTCTCTTAAGGTCATGCCACAGCATTTCAATCAGGTTGAGGTCAGGACTCTGACTGGGCCACTCCAGAAGGCATATTCTGGGCTGTTGAAGCCATTTTTTTGTTGAATTACTTGTATGCTTTGGGTCGTTGTCCTGTTGCATCACCCATTCTCTGCGGAGCTTCAATTGGTGGACAGATGGTCGTACGTTTTCCTGAAAAATGTCTTGATAAACTCTGGAATTCATTTTCCCATCAATGACAACAATCCGTCCAGGCCCTGAGGCAGCAAAGCAGCCCCAAACCATGATGCTCCCTCTGCCATGTTTTACAGTGGGGATGAGGTTTTGATGTTGGTGTGCTGTGCCTTTTTTTCTCCACACATAGTGTTGTGTGTTCTTCCCAAACAACTCAATTTTGGTTTCATCTGTCCACAGTATATTTTGCCAGTAGTGCTGTGGAACATCCAGGTGCTCTTTTGCAAACTTCAAACGTGCTGCAATATTTTCTTTGGACAGCAATGGCTTCCTCCGTGGTGTCCTCCCATGTATTCCATTCTTGTTTAATGTTTTCCTTATTGTAGATGTGTCAACAAAAATGTTAGCATGTGCCAGAGATTTCTGTAGGTCTTTAGCTGACACTCTAGGATTCTTCTTTACCTCATGAAGCATTCTGCGCTGTGCTCTTGCAGTCATTTTTACAGGACAACCACGCCTAGGGAGAGTAGCAACAGTGCTAAACTTTCTCCATTTGTAGACAGTCTGTCTTACCGTGGACACATGAACATCAAGGCTTTTGGAGATACTTTTGTAACCCTTTCCAGCTTATGCAAGTCAACAATTCTTGATCGTAGGTCTTCTGAGAGCTCTTTTCTACAAGGCATGGTTCACATCAGACAGTGCTTCTTGACACCAGTAAACCCAAAACAGGTGTGTGTTTTTAAAGGGCAGGACAGCTGTCAGCAACACATCCAATATCATCACAATGACTGGAGTCAAAGTTGGCTCACTCCTGGCTCCAGTTAGCTCTTGGAGAAGTCATTAGGCGAGGGGCTCACATACTTTTTCCTCCCTGCACTGTGAATGTTTACATGTTATGTTCAATTAAACCATGGCAACATCTAATGTTTGTGTAGTATTATTTTAAGCAGACTGTGTTTTTCTATTGTTGTGACTTAGATGAAGTTCAGAGCACATTTTATGACCAATTCATGCAAAACTCTACGTAATCCCAAGGGGTTCACATACTTTTTCTTGCAACTGTACAATATCAATATACAAGTTAATTTTAACTAAAAACAAACCAGTAACCAAAAAAAAATGAAACTATAGGATTTAGCACGTTTGGAACACTAGAAACAATACTGTTCAAAACAGTGTTGTGTTTCAAGCTTGGAACAAAACTCTTGAAACCAAGACTCAACATATAGTAATCAAAAACCTCTGGAAACAGAAAATGTGATAACCAACACAACACAGAAAGTATGGAAAAGCAAACAAAGCAATACAAAAAACTTTCACATAGTTTGGAAAACATATAAATATATTCATTATTTTAAAAGCACAAAATCTTAAAACACCTATATTTCATTTTCCATTAAAATTGTACAGGTAGAAGCAATATATTAGGAAATAAACATTAAAAATAAAAATAAAATCTTCAATTAAAAGACTTCTTAAATCTCTTTTCATTAAGTCAGTTTTTCAACCAATAGAATTACTCAGTCTTTTTAAAAATATCATTGCTTGTAATTAATATATTGCATGATTACGTTTGTAGTATTTTGTCCTGAGATCAGAAGGTCTTCCATATCCACTTCTCTTACCTGAACATCCTCTGTAGTAGCATTGGACTGGTTAAGTAATACATGATGAGAATCTGGATGATTTCCACTGGTTGTTCCAAGTCGATGTTTAACTGGAACCTTGTTAAAGACATAGGCACCTGGAGTTAATGGTTTAACCACCTGCATGAATGCACATTAAACAGAAAAATGTTACTATGCATTCATCTTTTTGAACCATCACCATAGATCCCAAAGATCAGAATTTGGGAAGATCAAAGAACGGAAGTTACAGTAGAATACTACACCTTTGGCATACTGCTGTGTATTGTTACAGGTGGAGGCTGTGCCAAAACCTGTGGCTGCACATGCAATTGATGAAGAGATTGTGTTGGCAGCAGCTGCTGTTGCTGCTGCAGCTGTGGTGGCTGCGGCTGTGACAGTTGCTGCTGTTGCAAGGGCTGCTGCTCGTTGCTTTCCCGGTGCCACAATACTCGTATAAACCGATTGTTCAACACTGCCTCTGTGCTAGAAATAGCTTTTCTGGCTTCATCGTTCGTTAAATACTGAATTAGAGCAGCTTCAGGATCATTCTTAAAGGCAACCTAAGGAACAAAAATCCAACATTTTTATCTGCAAAGTCTAATCACATAGCAACAAAACGTCTAAGCCATAATTACTAGTTGTAATTTATTTCGGAGCTATTATTTCTGGTAAGATACTTTTATGAAATTCTTTGCAATAGTATTTAAGCATTTGCTGCCCGCATTTTCATCAACACTGAAGTACAGGAATTCTAAATTGATGCCATTTGTATATAATGCCATAAGGTGGCACATTAAGAAAGTGCTAAAAACAAGCACTCAAGCAATGTTGAGTGAAGAACTGACATTTTTACAACAGAACACCATCACTGCTTTAGTATTTTTTCCCTAAACATTGAAGAAGTAATTTTTCATATCTAACTTGGAAATAAATTTAATTGTGCCACCATCGAACATGTTACAGAAAAAATGTACTCAACCATTCTTAACACAAGATTGCCCATTTCACTATATAAAACAGAATGAGAAATATAACTACAGTGTCACTGATCAAAGTCTGTCCCCTGCTGTTTGAGAAATGGATGAATGCCACTTCCTAAGGCACCTTCTTTCCTTAGCCAATAGCTTGTATTGCTGCAAAATTTCTCCAAATACTTTCCCCAGACTAATGTCCATGCTATTTTAAACCCATCAGCTCTTGTTTTATACAAATGTACATAAGGAAGTGTTTAATTTTACCTGAATGTTGGAAATTGTTCCAAATTTGCTGAAATGTTCATTCAACTGAGTAATATTGTTCAGTTCTGGTGGTATTTTACGAACTTCCAATTTAGTATTCGTATACTGGCTCTTCTTCAGGAACCCTGGCTTATTTTGGTTATTAGTTTGTCTGAAGAAAAAGAAAGGAAATGAGGCTTCACATGTTCTTTTAAAAAATTAATTTATGCAAAACAGCAATCTTTTATTTTTAAAGCCTTTTAATATAAGAATTAAAATAATGTCAAGAGTATTCATGGAACAATTCTAATAGGTTCGGGATTAAACTGCAGGCAGGGAATTTACCATATTCCACCAGGCTTTTCACCTCTACTTGGCACTCTTACTGAAAAACCACATTATTTTAAAATGTTTTTATTTATTTAAATGATTTATAGAGCTGCCCATCACATAGCAGTTTGTTATGCTATATTTAAAACTTAAAATAAGAGCCAGTGTAGTGTAATGGTGAAAGTGCTGGTTTGGAAATCAAGAGACTGAATTCTAGTCATGCCTTAAGCATGAAAGCTGACTGGCTGCCCCCAAGAGCCCTCACAGGGTGGTGGTGGTGGAAATTGTTTTGCTTCTCATCCAAGAAACTTTTTAAGCTCTGACTGGATGGTGGGGATTGGTGGAGTATGGGAGTATGAATGATTTCCAGAAAAAGTGCAGACTACAGGAACCATTTGCACTTCAGTTTGAGGTGCAGACAACACAGACTCGTCCTCAACAGCCTGCTCCTGTCTTCACAGGGTAGAAAACATCCTGCAGCCAAGAAGGCTCCACACCCATTCACACTTCTCAGGTGACCCTGAGGACACAGACAAATCTCCAAGTGGGCTCAACTACTCTCTAAAAGAATGCAAATGACGGCTGTCTGCAAGGAATATAAATCCTTCCATTCCCCACCATCCAGTTAGAGCTGAAGAAGCTTCTTGGATGAGAAGTGAAATGTCTTCAAAGAAAAACCAGAAAGTCCAGTTGCCTCCTGAAAAGGCACCTTTGGGACAACCATGACCTGGATGACTGAGAATAGAACCAATATACCCCGGTTTAAACATTAATTTAATTTAATTAAGCTAAAATGTTCATAACAATTCCTGATTTTCAGGTCCCACAGTTCTTTCATGTAATATTTCTGATTTTGATTCAATGATGTAATTAATTAGCAACCCATGTCCTTACTTTCCAATCCACGGTTTCTTTGGAGATGGTCCTTCTATAGTGTTCAAAATTCTCTTCCTGTTGTCTGGCTCAAGCACCACTCTGGATACATTACTGCTGTTACTTGCAATTCCAATTGGAGGTTCGGTTTGTATGATAATATTAGCAGCTAGAAGAAAAGATCAATATACTTGAAGGACATCATTGCTACCATACATTTCTCTTGTAGGAATAACAGAAATAATGCTAATATAGTATCGAAACTTCTATATTGTTCAGATCGTCCACAACAGAAAATAAAACAATGGGCAAAATTGGAAATCTTTTTGCTGGAGACACCATTCTCCCTTTCTGAAGTATAATTTAAGTGAAAATTCAACAATGGAAAATTGCTCACAATTCCAATTATAAGAGGCACTACATATAAGTAGCAATAGTAAAATTTGCACAGAATGCCTCTGAAAATAAATATTGCTTGTTCATTTAATTACTAAAACAAAGTTTGACAAATTGGTCAATTTCTTTTTTTCTTTTTGAGTTTATTTTACTGATCTTACCAGCAATCTGTTTCCTGATCAGCTTATGCATTTGGCAAAAAGTCTACATAAACATTTATGACCACAAGAGATGTAGCTTGTATGTCTTTTTCTATGACACGTTGTTTTTCTTTCATTTTATCGTTTTCTACTTTTAGAGATATGAGCTGCTCAGAGTCTGGGAATCAGATGGCCTCTAAATATCAGCGAGTCAGTCAGTCCCTATTCTTCCTTCATTTGTCTTTGGGTGCTTTTCAATAATTTATTTCACATCGTTGTTTTTGTTGAAATTGCTCCAACAAATTTTAGAGAGAGCGAACAAGCGCATTCTAGTTTATATGTTTAGGAGCTACAAATTGAATAAATCTATATACCGTGTTTTTCAGAGTATAAGACGCATGTTTTCCCCCCCTAAAAGAGGCTGAAAATTTGGGTGCGTCTTATACTTCGAATGTAGCTTTTTTGAAGCTTTTTTTTCAGCCCTAACAAAGTGCTAGCTGAGTGAAGTGATCTAACCCGTGCTTTGCCTGCTTTTCTCATTGCTGCTTCCTCTTAGCTGTGCCTTAGAAGCTGTTTTTTATCCCCAACAGGGGATAAAAAACCAGCAAACTAATATGCTGAAGCTGACCAGACTAAGGACGCTAGCTAGATGAATACCTGGTAGGCAGATTCCCCCCCCCCCAAATTTTCCTCCCCAAAAACTAAGATGCATTTTATACTCCGCTGCGTCTTATACTCCGAAAAATACGGTAAATATATGACTTGGACAAATATATGTGATATTCTTGTAGAATGCACAAGCAGCATTACAAACAAGTTTAAAGAGAAAAAACACTGTACTGCATACCACTTATTCATTCCATTCATTGGTACCAAATTATTTCTGAAATAACTACAAGTTTATGTTTTCTTAGAGAAAATGTTTGGCATAATGCAGGAAACAAGAACCACAAATTTCAATAAAATGTTTCAGTGCAAGAATTAGGGATAAAATAAAATAAAAAAAAACTTGGGAACTGATCGGAATCTCTAGTCCTCATTTATTTAGTTTACACAGACTGAATATTTTAATCCCTCCTTCCCAGATATTTCAGAGTCTGGATTGAGCTACCATTTATAAGCTGAATTACTAATGAAATCTTCTCCTATGTATTAGTCATTTGTGAGCAATTCTCCTCCTGTTACTTTCTCAGCCTCTCTACAATCTGTCATGATATTCCAAACTCTCAATGTTTTCATATAAGAGATCACACCTCTTGGATTTGTGTCCATTTCACCAGATGTTAGGCCAATAAGATTTGGACGCTGCATTGGAGTCCTTGAAAAGAACTGTCGATACTGAGATCTACCAGTACTAGTAATACTAGGAGCTTCTGGATTATAGCCATCTGGTTCATATGTATCTATTAAGAGAGAGAGAGAGAGAGAGAGGAGGGGGAGAGTGAAAGAGAGAGAGAGGGAGGGAGAGGGAGAGAAAGAGGGAGAGAGAAGGGGAGGGAGGGAGGGAGAGAGTGGGAGGAAGACGGGGGGAAGAGGAAATTTCCTTATTTAAAAACAAAGAATTTTAATTTATAAAATTACATCCCGCCTTCCAAATAATGTCATTCTCAGATCAATTATCAATCAATTATAAGATGACACTTTTTTTCTATTAAAAATATGAAAGCACATCAATAAAAACAAACCCATTCATCAGTTAAAAACTACTTCAGCAAAATGTTTAAAGCTCAAAAGCCTGGCAAGATACGTTTTGAGTTGTAATGCAACTTATTCCCTTAATTTTTTTGCATCAACATCACAGATTGAGATCTCTGTAAGATGCCTACAAGAGGGCATCCATTTAGAACAGGGATCCCCAACCCCTGGTCCATGGACCAGCACCAGTCCGCGACACGCCAACAACTGGTCTGCGCACACAAGTGAAGCCTGCATCTGTGGGATGCAGGCAGCACACACAACCATGCCCTCTCCAATCCACAGAACTCTCTCCATGGAACCGGTCCCTCGTGCTTAAAAGGTTGGGAGCCGCTGATCTAGAATAGATGGAAATGGGTGTTCCTGACATTGGTAGAAAACATTGAGATGCTTGAAGAAAAAGTTGCTCCCCCCCCCCACTTTCCTGCACCTTCCAATTTTTCTTGCTTCCAGGGTCTTAAGACATGACATTCTTTGAGCAAAGGAACTGGTATAGATCAATCTTGGAGGACTGAATCAATTAGGCAGATGAAGAGACAGGCAGTCCTTCAAGTAACCCATGCCTTGTTAAGGATTACAGTTCATTTCATCAGACGTAAATTATATTTTGTCATGCAAAACATGACCCTCATTAGAGAAATGGGAGACAATTTCCCATTTGCAGCTAATAAACATGGATATATACTGTGAGATGCAGAAAATAATATTTGCTTACGTTCTGATACTGAATACAGTAGGCTTTGGGGTAGTGGTGGAGGTAGCCTTGCCCCCATTGGTGCAAGGCTGGGCACTGTAGTTGTTCCTGGCGGGTCACGGCTATTAATTAAACTGGATTGAGATGAAGGAGGTCCTGGAATAAAACAGAAATGGTAGTCAGGCCTCTTGAACAATTTTTATACATTATGTCCCTTCATGAATATAGTAAGGCATTTGTAGTAGGAGTATAGGAATTAACTCATTTTTTCCGTAAAACGAATCAAATGTTGGACCAAACTACCTACCTAACACAACTCAAAGAAAATCAGTACAGGGAGTCCTCGACTTACAGCAGTTCATTTAGTGAGCGTTCAAAGTTACAACAGCACTGAAAAAAAATGACTTATAACCGGTTTTCACATTTATGACTGTGGCAGCATCCCCATGGTCACCTGATCAAAATTCAGATGTTTGGCAAATGGTTCGTATTTATGACAGTTGGGAGTGTCCTGAGGTCACGTGATCAGCTTTTGCAACCTTCTGACAAGCAAAGCCAATGAGGAATCTGGATTCATTTAACAATCATGTTACTAACTTAACAAATGCAATGACTGACTTAACAACAGTGGCAAGAAAAATCATAAAATGGGGCAAACCATTTTAACTAAAGTTTTGCTTAGCAACATAAATTTGGGACTCAATTGTGGTCGTAAATCGAGGACAACCTGTATATACGTGCTCATGAGTAGCCAACAAATATGAATATATGTGTGTATATATATATATATATATATATATATATATACACACACACACACACACATATACACACACATACATACACACACACACACACACACACACAAACGAGAGAGGGAGAGAAAGAGTGTCAGTCAGTCTTTTGAGGGTTTTAATGTACAGGTAGTCCTCAATTTATGATGATTTGTTTTGTGACCATTTGAAGTTACAAGGGCAGTGAAAAGTTTTTTACAACCAGTAATCATAACAATTGCAGCATTGTCATATTCACGCGATCAACATTCAGGTGCTTGGTAATTGACATATATTTACAAGTGTTACAGCATCCCATGCTCATGTGATTGTCATTTGCAACCTTCCCACCTAGCTTCTGACAAGCAAAGCCAATAGGGGAAGCCAGATTTGTTTTAACAACCATGTGATTCACTTTTTTTTTTAAAAAAAGTTTTTTATTAATAATACAATTAACTGCATGACTCACTTTACAACTGTGGCAAAAAAAAGGTTATAAAATTGGCCACGACTCACTTAAAAACCACTTTGCTTAACCATGGAATTCTTCCCATTCAGTATTGTTACTATAAGAAATAATCAAACTGTTTTGCAACAACAACAACAAAATAATCTTACTTGGTATGGGGATTCTAACAAGTGGTGGCGGTCGAGGATGTAAATGTGGGCCTGGCATTCTCATGTTGTGGGTTGGACCTTGGGTTGGGGGCATTAGCATTCCAGGTGGAGGAAGTCCCGGAGGCGGAGGTGGGAAAGGAATCATGCTTGGCAGAGATACTTCATCTACAACTAGTGGGTCATTTCCATGATCGAACTGACAAAGATCACCAAGTACGCAAAATCCTCGTTCTATTAAGAAAGGGTGGGAAAAAAGCCAGATAGAATCATTACGGATAACTAATTCATTATACAAAAAAAGAGAGGTTTTGTTAAAGACTTTTTATACTAATAAAAGCATTTGTTATGTAATGCAATGGGCAATGACATTGCATGGTCCATTTCACATGAAAATAAGCATCGGTCTTAAATCACCTTGCTAAAACTGCAATCTTTTTGAATATTTTTCTCTATAAAGGAACCATTCTTCTAGAATAAAGAAGAAGGGAGACAACATCAAACGATAATCTTCTGAAAAAAAGAGTTTTAGCCTACTCTATGTCTTTCTCCATAATATTTAAATTAAGACATTAATTTAATTAATCACGTTATTTGACGTGAATATCAAAACATAGAGCACACCGTATTTTTCGGAGTATAAGATGCACCTTCCCCCCCCCCCAAGAGACTGAAAATTTGGGTGCATCTTATACTCCAAATGTAGCTTTTTCGAAGTTTTTTTTCAGCCCTAACAAGGCACTAGCGAGCGATCTTCTCAGCTTTGCCGCTGTGCTTTAACAAGGCGCTAGCGAGTGACGCAATCTCCATTCTTTGCTGACTCTTAGCTGTTCTTTAGAAACTTTTTTCCAGCCCTAACTAGGCGCTGATTGAAGCGATCTCCCCGTGCTTTGCCTGCTTTTCTCATTGCTGCTTCCTCTCAGCTGTGCCTTAGAAGCTGTTTTTTAATCCTCAAGCAGGAGATAAAAAACCAGTAAACTAATGTGCTGAAGCTGACCAGACTAAGGATCTGTTCTGCCCCAGCTACGGATCCCAAAGAACGCAGCACACACAAAGTCCGTACAAACCTTAGTTTACTAATTAAGGACTACTAATGAGCTTTCTTAGTAGTTGTTCGAACACAAGTACAGTTTATATCAGTCTTTTCTGAACAAAGGCTGTTAATTTAACTTCATTAACAGCCGACAAGAATTCAAAGAATAATAACTCAATTCTGAGGCACAGTATTTCAGATAACCGTAATCTTACTGTGGTTGGCAGAATGCCCAGAAGCAATTTGCAGGAAAACTGACAAGAGATAAACAAGAGCCAAATCAAACGTTTCTGGAATCAAGACACGAAGGAATATGAACGAAGTTGTTTCCTGAAAATTGCATCAGTCATTGTCCTTCCTTAAATAGGCTAGGGGAATGGCCAACTAGCCCCAAGCCTTACTCTCAAGGAGTCCTCCTCCCGAGGAGCCACTCCTGCCTTTTAACAGCTCTGCGCGCTCGTGCATCAAGAAGAGGCTCCTCCTCTTCACTTATGGGCGCTTCTGGAGGTTCTGAAGGCCCTGGCTGAATCCCCGCCTCTGGCACCACATCTTCTCCAGCCTCATTGTCTGACTCGAGCGCCAGCTGCACAGGCTGCTGGCGCAGTAGCACACCAGCGTCCTCGCTGTCGGAATCGGCTACCAGCTGCATAGGCCGCTGGTGGGCCACAACAGGATCCTAGCTAGATGAATACCTGGTAGGCAGATTTCTTACTCAATTAAGTACACAAACTATCACCGAAGTAGAATGAAATTAATCAGAGATGTACATATGATCTATATCAGTGGTTCTTAACCTTTGTGGCTTGGTGGTGGGTAGAGGAACCAGGCCATGTGAGTGGAGGGCCAGCGGACACATGCATGTGTGCGCAATTCAACTTGCACAAGTTGAGCTGTGCACGTGCACTGGCCTGCTGCTTACACAAATCGAGTTGCACACATGTACATGCACACTGGCTCACCGCTCATGGAGCCCAGTTCCGAATTGGCCATGGCCCAGGGGTTGGGGACCCCTGATCTATATGATAATAGTTTCATTGATATCATGTTTTGAAAATGCCATAAAAAACTGAAAGTAGAACAAGCAGAAGCCTCAGTTACCATCATAATCTCGACACCGCCTTTTTGGTGGAACATTCCTGCCAAATGAATTAGGTGCGGAATGATTGCCGTAGTAATTTGACCAGCTTTCTGTTGTGTTTTCAGGATGGTGAGCTGGCGCAATCACAGTGACAGCAGTAGGAATACACTGGGCTCCGGTAGAATACTGTTCAGCTGAGTTTATGGAAGACAAAGACACAGGGTTGTATGAACTGTCCATGTCACTTCTTTCACACTTGAATTTGGCTCGGTCTCTGTGATCTGTTTGAAAATTTGAAATAAATTTAGGTAAATTTACACTTTCTTCCACATTCTTTTGAGACATCATGACTCTGCATAAAAATTAACATTACAGTATAATAATTTATTATTGTTCAAGTAAAATCTTCAAATACTGCTAAAATTACATTTCTGACAGTAAAAAAAGGATATAGTTAGGATCACTACATAGAGTTTATTGACATTTCTTTCAGAAAAGAAAACTATGACCTTACAAAAATGATTTCAATTATTAGATATTTTTTTCTAAAATACTATTTTATCATATAACATAAATGCAATTTATAAGAGTAATAAGTTACTTATTTTATAGAAATAAGTAACATGCATCCACTTCTTTCAGCAGAGGCGTAATTCAGAACAGTAACATCTAGCAGTAGGCAAAGAATAACAGAAGGCACCGATCTATTAGAATGTACCTTAGAACAAATTAATAATTCCCTGCATTAAGGCACTCTACAGAGCAGTACACAGTCTGCTGTTGGAAAATGCCCAGCCAAGAAGGAGGACAACTCAAGCTGGGAATTAGCCTTGAATAACTGCAGTTGCAAGAATAGAATAGAATAGAATAGAATAGAATAGAATAGAATAGAATAGAATAGAATTTTTTATTGGCCAAGTGTGATTGGACACACAGGGAATTTGTCTTGGTGCATATACTCTCAGTGTAACATAAAAGAAAAGATACGTTCATCAAGAATCATAAGGTACAACACTTAATGAGGTCGAGGACTGACTCCTCCCACAGGCTCCACGGAACCTTATCTGTTCCCAAGGGAAGGAAAGCAGTCTGGGGAGATTCCTGCAGTATAGATAGAATTGCAATAAAGTAGTCACACCTTGAACTCTTACTGTGTTAATCTATTGTCTGGGCCTGACACCAGCTATTTTTTAAATCAATTCTAATTATTTATCAGAATTAGGTGATATATATACACACACATATTCATTAAAAGCATGTTTTTCAATCTATTTTCACATGACGTCTTACTTGGATGTAATAGCAACTCACCAATATTTCTGCCAGGATCCCTGTCTTTGTTTGCATCTTGGTCTTTGCTTTTGCCTCTACTGCGGCTCCGACTTCGGCTTAACCCTCTGCTTTTACTACGACTCTTACTTCTTCCCCTTCGCCAGTCATATTTGTCTCTGTATAAGTCATTCCTATCATAGTATCTATCGTAGTCTCTCCATTTGCCATCATCTCTTTTTCTTTCTCTGGTTCTATTTAAAATTCAAAAGCAAAAAAATGAAGAAGAGGATTTTCAAACAACCTAAAATGTTCATAGCATTAAAATGTAATAAGAAGATACAGCAATAATTTTTTTTACACAAAAAATAATGTGTGGAACTCTTAAGCTTCGAGAAATATCATGAATAAAATAGAGATAGCCAATATAATCAATTTTCACTATTAGTTAGAATGACTAGAAAGTGTTGTGGTGCGCCAGCAGCCTGCGGAGCTGGCAGCAGAGTCGGACAGTGAGGAGGCTGGGGAGGACCATGGGTCAGTATGCCTGGTAGATGGACTGTTCTAAACACAAATGCTCTCTGAAAGTTTCTTGTGCTGATAAAATTGTAGTACTCAATCAGATGTATCAGCACAGATGAAAACATATTCTTGTTACACAACAACCATTTGAATCAGAGCAGATCAAATACAGCTAATGAATTACATTTATCTTAATCAGAGTGTACAGCAAGACCATCTGAGCATAAAGAAGAAGATATATACTTACAATTATAATAATAATTTAACAAAGTTGGAAGGGACCTTGGAAGTCTTCTAGTCCAACCCAACCCCCTGCTTAGACAGGAAACCCTACACCACTTATGAATAAACACAAACCTTTGCTCGTTAGAATCTGAACGATTTTTCTGCGGGCTAGTGTATTTCTTCTTTTTGTTCTCTCGGTCTTCTTCAAAAGATTCCTGAAATGTCTAACAACAAATACGAACATTATTATTAAATAAAACCCAATGATATGGGAGACACAAAGCAATGATAACGCAGATTGACAAAAAACAATGCTAGATGCTAGCATTAAAAAAAGTGATTTATATATGGATTTCATTCATTGAAATCATTATAAACATACATAAATGTATAGCACTTTTTTTTTTGCAGTATTCCTTGTATTAAATCAGAATGGGTTACTAAAGGATATATAACATATTCTGTGTGTGAACCATTCTATGCACAAAACAGCATGTGGTCTGTTTAGACCCAAATCTAGAACATGCAATTTTAGTGTGGGTACAGACAAACCCTCCCCCCCATGTTCTGCACACAAAGTTTGTGAAATAGGAAACAATGGCAAAAATCAAACCAGTGGCATGGAGGGGAGAAAAGGAAGATTGGGGAGGAGGGGGGGGAGAAGTAGGTATCCCAGTGTACCTGAAATCCAGATGTGATGACAGCAGCAGCAAAGAGGAGGAGTATGCTAGGACACTTGGGAAAGGGACGGGCATGGGTACTTTTTGTTCAGTGGTGCTGTGGTTGAATTCAGGTATAGTGGCAGCAGAAATGAAAGAAAGCTTCAGGACAGGACTGGGGCTGGAATTACTAGAATGAGCAAGCAAGCTCAGAGGAAGAGAAATGTGTCCCATCCTTGCCTTATTCATCCTGCAAAAGTGTCTGGAATCTGTCTTGCCTGAAATATGGAATAAGCAAGGATGCAACTACCTGGAACAGGTCCAATGAAATCCTGACTCACAATGCTTTCCCGGCAGAAAAAAGCCATTTTTTATTTCTTTCTTGTGTTACTGCTTCAAGTTTGAAAACTACAAGGGCAAAGAGTGGGAACTAAGGATTCATGACACTAGAGTTCTCTATGAAAATTATGGCAAGCCCTAATTTGCTGAATTTTTGATCAGGAATTTCAAAAAATGTTACATTATACCAGTGGTGCAATCTAAAATTTGTTACTACCGGTTCTGTGGGCGTGGCTTGGGAGGGTAATGTGACTGGGTGGGCGTGGTCAATTTTTAAAAAACTTTTAAAACCATTTTTTCTACAACCTCTTCGGCAAAGAGATTATAAAAAAATGCTTTCAAAAGGCTCTGACGATCCCAACTGAGTTGCCTGATCAGCAAAGGCTTTTAAAAAAAACTCAGCTTGGTTCGTCAGAGGCATTTAAAAGAAAAAAAGTGTTTTTTTCTTTTAAAAGCCTTTGACGATCCCAGCTGAGCCGCGCAATCATCAGAGGCTTTTTTTTTTAACTTTTAAAAGCATTTTTTCCGCCTAAGAGGTTGTAGAAAAAATGCTTTTAAAAGTAAAAAAAAAAGCCTCTGATGATTGTGTGGCTCAGGTGGGGATGGGGGGGGGGGGCAGGGATTTTTGCTACCGGTTCTCCGAACCATCCGCCTCCATCGCTACTGGATCGGGCGATCCGGTCCGAACCGGGAGCATTTCACCCCTGCATTATACCTATTGTTTTTATGGGAATAAGCTAGTTTATGGAACAAGTGCATCAGCCTTGAAAATCTTGAAATATAAATTTACAAATCAAAATGGATGGACATTTTAAAGTTTGTATTTTCATTTTTTACTTATTTTGAATCTGGTAATTAAGACAACACTATTTTATTCTGATAAACAGATCAGATCCACTTAACAGCATTAAAAAAAGTATCTATGGTAGCCTGGTTAACAAATATTTTGTTAACAGCCTTTTGGGCTGTGATGGTTTTCTTGCCTACTTTCAACAACTATGGGTTCTTCCAAGCAAATTAAAATACAGTTCACTCTTATGAAGTAGAAGAGCTGTTGATTTTAATACAGGTGGTCCTCGATTTATGACTACAATTGAGCCTCAAATTTTGGTTAAGTGAGTTTTGTCCCATTTTATGACCTTTCTTGCCACAGTCGTTAAGTGAATTACTGCAGTTGGTAAGTCAGTAACACAGCTGTTAAGTGAGTCTGGCTTCCCCATTGATTTTGCTTGTCAAAAGGTGATCACATGACCTTGGGACACAGCAACAGTCATAAGTATGAACCAGTTGCCAAGAATCTGAATTTTGATCACATGATCATGGGAATACTACAAAGGTTGTTAGTGTGAAAAATAGCCCTAAGTGCCGTTGTAACTTTGAACGATCACTAAATGAACTGATGTAAGTCAAGGACTACCTGTAATGAGACTTCGTTAAAAAATGAAAGTTATGTGAGATCTGGAAGATCAAGAAAAATCTCTCCTGGACCTGCTATCAAATTGGTACAATCTGAAAATCAGAACCCCAAAACACTGCAAACTGCTTGTTGAAATAAAAACTGAACAGTTTGGTAATCTACAATTGGGATGGGGGTTGGAAGAATGAAGCATTTGAAGAAAATTTAAAACTAAGTAAAGTAGAAATGCAAAATGTCTATGGAAATTGTCAGTCATCCAGGTCATGGTTGTCCCAAAGGTGCTCTTTCAAGAGGCAACTGGACAAAAAAGTCCAGTTGCCTTTTGAAAAAGCACTTTTGTGACAGAAATGCAAAAGAAAAAGAAAAGTGTTTGATGCAATGGCTCAAGGCATTGGGCTAGGTACCAGGAAACCGTGAATCCTAGTTCTACCTTAGGCACCTAGCCACTTTTTTCAATCAACGGCAGAAGACCATTGATTCAAATCATATTTGAAAAATGTTGCCAAAAACCAGCACGGGCTTGTCTCTGCATACTCAAAACTGATTCAAATGTATAAAAGAATAAATAAACAAAAACACCTTGTCAACCATTAAGCACAGTGGTGGATTTATTTATTACACTTTCAGCTTGTGTGGCAGTCAGTGGCATAGGAAATATTGCACGAATGGAAGGAGGAAGAGATTCAACCAAATATCAATGTATCACAGAATATCCCACAGTCAATGAAAAAATGTAGCTGAAATAAAGGCTGGAGATCATCTGCTTTAAAAGAAAATTTGGAAGCACATTTTTTTACAATTCTTTATTTTCTTGCACCTTTGTTTTTTTTCTTTCATTTTTCCTCTTTTCTTATTCTAAGAATTAAGTTCTTGTTAGTTTTTTATTCTGTTTTAAAATTTATAATGAAATTTATAAAAACTAAATAAAAACAATGATCTGAAATAAATTTCCAAATCAGTCTGAAATACTTACAGGAAAGAAAAAAGATTTTAGAAAGTCTTGCCCAGACTTTAAAAAGTGAAATCTGTGAAGAGATCTCAAAGATGCTGTGCATGCTAGGAGACCCAATAGTATTTCTAAGCTATAACAACTCTATAAAGAGTAGCAGGAAGCCAGACTACCGGGGGGGGGGGGGGGGGGGGGAAGAGAAGAAGGGGGGGGGGGGCGGGCGGGTGGCGAGAGGTAGTATTTGGAAGCTGCTTTTGCCAAAAGAACTGGTGCAAAACATTGATTAAAAGGATTTTGAAACCTTTGCACCCTGTCACATTCATTATTTTCTTATTTTGAGCCTTAAAATTTGCAAGCAGATAGTAAGTAGAAATTTCCTGACAGAACAATTAATCAGTGGCACAACTTGCCTCCAGAAGTTGTAGGCGCTCCAACACTGGAAGTTTTTAAGAAGAGATTGGACAACTATTTGTCGGAAATAAGGTTTCCTGCCTGAGCAGGGGGTTGGACTAGAAGGCCTCCAAGGTCCCTTCCAACTCTGTTGTTATGGTTATTATTAAGTATGTACTGAAATTTGCAGAATGTCATGTTTAACTTTGCACTATGTAGACATTGTATCAAGACTGGTTCATTTAGGGATTTATTAAGGCATGCCATTTGACTAAACTTTTGCATGCATCTTTGTGCTTTATTTTTGAACCAAAAGACAAGCTTAGAGCTATGTAAAACACCCTTTCAAATGCTTTTCATCACTTTGTCATCATGTTCATTTAGGTAATGTCGATATCCAAAGTGACAACTTCAACAGATACTTGTATTTCATTCAGTCTTTCACTACTGTGTTCCTTTCAAATGTTTTTGGCACAAGCCAAAGTGTATGAAGTAAGTAAATACCTTAAGATATTCCCATATGCTTTTGTACCACTGCTTCTGTTCATAGTGTAGTGAACTTTAGAAAATTTCAACCCCTACAATAGAGTTTTTAAATTAGCAATTACTCACTGTGAAAACAGTTACTGGTAATTTATTTATTTATCAGGTCCCTTCTATGACTTTGTCATAAATAGTGTGCTTCAAATTTTCAATGGAAATTGATTTTGGAGTGTAAATCTTCATAAATAGAACTGCACTTTCTGAGATGGTCTGCACAAAATATGTAGCAGACAAGATTTTAGCTACTGTATAATATTTTCTAAGTATTTTTGTGGAAAAAAGCAACACATTTGATTACGTGCCATCAAATTGCTTACAACTTTTAGCAACTACATAGATATTCTCCATGACAATTTGTTTCTAAATTATCCCCAGGAGATCAGAATTTTTCTTAAATTCAAGTGAAGTTGTCCTGATGAATAATTTGATAGCAAAGAGCAGAATTTAGGAGGAGACAGAAAAATCACTGCGTGTATATGAGGAGGACTATGTGATACAAAGATATCATCTCTCACTTGACCTTATCTAAATATAGCAGAGATTTCACATGTAACACAGTCTGAGTTAATAAAACATTAATCTTAACACAACATATGTTATTTCCCCAATTACATTTACTCCTAAATTAATTATCCATTGTGCTATGAAAGTACAATATTTAAAATGGCAGCTCTGACCTTGTAATTAAACAAAATACAAGCTATGAAGCAATTCAAGCAGGATAAGAATAAATTTTTGCATTATTCCATACGAACCTCTGAAATGGGAATAACCTTCTTTAACACAGTATTTAGCATCTATAATAAAATATGAAATACTGTATGAAAAATACAAATATAAAAGTACATTTAATGCAGCACTGAAAACTACTTGATATCACATTAGGTTTTGTCCTTATGAATGAGTGTTTTTTCCCCAAAGATCTAATTATCTTTTAGCTACAATTCTTGAATGGAACCATCCAGATTTTATCTTTGACTTTAGACAACGTAGGGAACTGCATGAACTGCAAAATCTGTTGTATTTGTTACATGAAAACAAGCACACAGTAGCTCAGAGGTTGAGTAGATTGTCCTAGATAGGGTCTTGATTCAGTCATATCATTGCCATGTTCTAAGTTTTATCCAAGAAAAATCTAAAGATGTGAGAAGATGGGTTGTATCTCATGTTTCACTTTCCTTCTCTACGCTGTGTGCCAGCCTGCCTGCTTTACATCCCCTATCGTCAAATTTAACTTCAAGCATGGCATACCTAACTGGTCTATATAGTCACAATGTTTCTTTGACTTTCGTAGCTTCTTCCTTCATCATAACTGTTCTCTTATTCAACTGACCCGCGGCTCTCAAATGGTTTTCCTTGACTAGTCAATGCCTTCCCCGTCTTTCTATCCCCTTTTTCCTAGTGCTGGAAGCATCAGTACTACTGTTTCCCCGCCCCCCACATTGGAACATACTTATTTAAGCTCCATCCATGCTCAGACAAAGCACACATTTTGATCCATTATGGACCAGCCAATATGGACCAGTCTGTTTCATGCATAGGATAGTCCTTGCAAGAAACCTTTTATGAAAGAGCCAAATTAAAATGAAGGCAAATGGTTGAATATCTTCAGAGAACAAAAACATTATAAATAAGATATTAAGTGCCTCAACACATCATCACAGTGGCACCTTATAGAATTCCTCAAACATAGACATTCCCTTTTACTACTGAGACTTCCTGAATTTTTCCCCAAAGGAATTAGAAAACAGTTCAGCAAAAAATAATAACATGGCCACAAACTTTCTTAGGAGTTCAATCCTGACCGGTTGACTTAGCCTACGAAGTGGTATGTAAATCTAAGTGCTACTGCTATTAGGAAACATAGTACATGCCTAGCTAAGTATAGAATAAGTATCACAATTCTAGCAACCCATATTATAAAAAAACCAACAAGTCTTTCCAATTCAGATTGGTGTTCCATAAATTTATTGTCTGTCTCCCTTACATAATTTGTGCAGAAGGCTACCTAACCATGTTCTAACATCAGAAAGGGCAATACAGTGCGGAATACAATTAGACAGTTTCCAGCAGAAATTTCTGAAACTTGTTTCACATGCATTTCTTTTCAGGATTATATTAGTTTCATTCACCTAGAATTATATTTATAAGTAATAATAATATTAGCATTAGAAGTAACAAAATCCCTGTTTATTGTAAATTATATAACTTAAAACTTGGTATGTATGAATAGAAGCATAGGTCTTCCAATTAACATTCTTACAATTAAGCCATAGGCAGATGGTAGCATACTAGGGATTATGCATCCATACCCGCCACTTCTATAGCCTAGTTCCCAACGGCTCAAGGCCTGAAGGTGGGTTGTGGCCCAGGGTTTGGGACCCCTGATGTATAGTAAATCAGGTTTCCTTTAAAAATAAAGGGAAAACTATATGTTGTGTTTCCCCGAAAATAAGACCGGGTCTTATATTAATTTTTGTTCCAAAAGATGCATTAGGACTTATTTTTTGGTTAGATCTTATTTTCGGGGAAATAGGGTTATCAAGTAAAACTAGAATAAGGCAATACTGTTATATTTACTTACCTGGGATTGAATCCCATTACATTTCACTAGGTCTTCTTTCTCGGTGATGTGCTTTGGCTTATGCACAACCACCTTAGGGTATGTTCAATGAACATTACTGGGGTTAATTCTGAATGGATTTGCACAGGATTCCTCTATGTATCAAGGAAATTATATTAAAAAACTTACCATTGCTTCTTCTTTGATTTCTTCTTTTCCTTGATTAGTCTTCAGATCTGGTTTTACTGGTTCATTAGGAACTAGGTAATCCTTAGTATATAGGCTTTCAAATAATTTGTCAACAAAACCCGATGTTTCTGTGGGAGACAAACAAGAAAATTAATCACGTTTCTAATGAACCTTTCTAGTTTTGCATTAAAGTTGCCTTTTTTTTTTTTCTCCAGATCAATTCAATTCCAATAAATGAAATAACCTAAAACTTGGTTTTCCAGTAACAGAAACATCACTACTGTACCAGAGTGTTTTAAACATAAATTGTGATGTGATTGAGACCTGACATTTGAATTTGAAACATTAAATACTGCATGCTTGCCCTGCCCTTGATTATGCTTAAAATTGTTGTTCAGATTTCAGGGTCATATTCTTAAAACTATATTAAGAATCCACTGGGAGATCATTCTGTCTGCTGAAAACGATGGTATAAATTTCGTTTTAAAATCAGTATAATTTCTTCAAGGTACTAATTTTATAGCCTATTGAGAAAAAAAAAATCATGGCTGCCATAGTGAAATGTTAAGGTTTTTCCCTATTGACTTGAGCTGTGGCATTTAGGATGCTGACAAATATTTGCCTGCATCAAATGCCACCAATTTTACTTTAAGTAAAAGCATATGTAACATTATATAGTTTCATTATAAATTCCCAAATTATGCTGGATGATTACCTTTCTGGAGGAAATAACAAGTCTTAACAACCACACTGGCCTTCCTGTATAGCATGGGTAAGGTAGGTTTTCAGTTTGGACCAAAGTTGGGAAGTGGAGATGCAGTGGCTTGCTTCTTTCTACCTTGCTCATCCATGTTAGAGCTGCAGATAGGAAGTAGATGCACACTGACATATTATGTCCTGGCAGGTTCTCCAAACTTAGACAACTAGGCCTACTGCATGCTGGAGTAAGATAGGCCTTGGCCTGATGAGGAACTTTTCTTATAAGAAGCAAAGGGATTGCTGCATCTGAACATAGCCAATATTTTGCGAGTGAAATTACAGCACTTTGTTTAATGTTTTAATCTGCCAAAATGACATTTAAATGTTTTTGCCATTGCCATCTTTTGAGTTATTTTTTAATTTTTTTGGTCTAGTCTACAGCACTGGGTTCCCAGTAGTCTCCCTTCTAAGTAACAATAACTCTGATTAGCCTTTTAAGACAAGCAAAGCCTGAGTATGTGCTACCGTTCAGCTGGGGCAAATTTCCTTATGTTTAGCACCAACATTTTGTAGTGAATCAGACATTTATATTAATTATCTGTCATTGGGTGGTGCTGACTGTTAGCAATCACACAGATTTTCTCCATGATGTTTTTAATTTTGTCCTTCAGGTCTTCCAACCAAAGGCCCATTGCACTGTGACTGAATCCATCCATCTTGCTATTGGTTGTCCTCTTCTCCTCTTACTTTTCATCTTTCTCAGATTTAGAACTTCTCTAGAGAGCTATGTTTTGCCTAATGTATTCCTAAATAGGATAATTTGTTATGGGTCATTTCTGCCTTGAATGAGAACTCTGTGTTAATTTGTTCGATGTTCCATTTGTTTGTTTCCCAAAAACAAAGTTTGAAAGTGTTAATATGACACTTTCCTTTATTTGCTTCTTTATATATGATGGTCGATCCTAAAAAACAGAATGTATCTACTACCTTGATATCTTCATTATCAATTTTAAGGCTGGTTGTTGCATCTGTCGTCATTAATCTGGACTTCTTTATAATTAATTTTAGTCCCATTTTTCACTGTACTCCTTAAATTTTATTACTAGAGCTTGCAGATCCTTTGCATTTTTAGATATGAGTAGCATCATCAGCACAGTGCAGGTTACTGATGTTTTTTCCTCCAATTTCAAAGCACAGTAATCTTCCAATCCTACTCCCTTAAGTATATCCATTATTTATCTGAATAAATAAGGAGAGAATATACAGCTTTGTCTCACTCATAGAATCAGTCTGTAGCTTCCCGATCTGTAAATAGATTTCCCATGAGGATGGGATGTTCTGGGGCAGGAATTTATATATTTGCCCTTTGTATGTTTTAATCTGCCCAACAAATAAAGATCTTTGAGTAAATTATATGCTTTAAAATTATATTTTTAAAAGAAAAGTAACAATGTAGTAATAAGCAATATTTATATTTATATTCATAATACATTATTAATAAATATACATAAATGTACCTTTTTGCAGAAATACATCTAGCTGATCAGCACAGAAAGCCTTTAGTTCTTTTTCTGGCTTGTCTTTTTTGACCAGTGCAACAACATAGTTAGCCAAGGCTGATGGATCAGCATCACATCTGAGGAAAAATACTTTTATTAGCATATAACTTTTAGTGTCAGAAGTCTAACACAAGAAGATATATTGTAATAAACTTCTCTGAAGATGCAGTATTTTATTCATATAGAGAAGTCTGATACAACTTCTACATGGGTGACGGGTATACAAATAGAAAATTTAACGTACAAACTTAGAAGAGCTAAGCAAAACATTTCACATAGGAAGCAATGCTCCCTGTACTAATGATAAATTCAATGTGATTAAGAATAAAATATTAGTATAAAAAGTAAACTAGCATTTAATTCAGACTAGAATGTAAGATTCATCTTATTTACCACACTTCTTCACACTATAGAATTCTGTAGTGTTACCAGATCACAGCAAAAGCCACAACATGATGACTGAATGTTTATGTCCATAAAAACGCCTTTAAAAATGTTAAATGAACAAGTCTGTACTTTTTTCATATTATAGGCTCCATACGAAGTTTCCTCTATTCTACAGCCTTAGCATTTTTATGCATATTATTTTACTGTTATTTCCTCATGGTTCCTGTTTTAGAAGACACTATTTTGCTGGGGAAAAATGCTTTTACTTTTTTGCCTGCCTGATCCTTGGTTAGACTCATTAGTTTTCTCTCAGATACTCTCTACCTTTTTTTCAGAGGTGCATTTTCTTCTTTCCTCAAGTTTTTGTTCAGTTTCTTTTCCTGTTTCTGCTCCTCCCCACTTTAGTCAGTCATCTGACGACTTCCTGTCATTTTTTTTCCTCTCCCTTACATAGTTTTTCTGCTTGTCATGTCAGATTGTTCTGTGCAAAGTTGTCATCCCATCCAAACTAATAGCTTTCCTTCCCGAGTGCAGTACAAGTTGGTTTCAAGAGTAATTGGGCATTAACTGAACTATTATGGTGTTGAAGCCATGCACCACCATTAACTTTCAATATTATTATAGATATTATATCCAGGACTCAGGAGGAAACAGATATAAACTGCCTATAAACAGTAAAATGACCTGAATCATTTGCCCAGATTGAATATTTCTCTTAGTTTCCATCAGGCAATTGAAAGTATTTCATGTCCTGAAATTCTTTTAAAGTAAACCATGAACACAACTTTATTAATATAGAAATCTTTAGGTTATAATAAAAATATGCTCCCAAGAATAATCTATTTTGGGAATATATTTTTATTATAACCCAAATATAGGTTGGGAGTATATCCAACAATCCAGTGATGTTTAAGTTACTAAGTGAGCTGATTTTTAAAATACTAACATGTAAGTTATAATTGACATTGAAAGTGTTAATCATATATTAGTTACAACAGTGTTATAAATTATAGTGGGAAAAACTAAAGAAAGCGATAAGGAGAAAAAGACAAGATCTTTTGCAGACAAATACACTTAGAATAAAATATTTGACATAAAAGCTCTATTTTGCATATTTGGCTGCAAAAGAATGCTGAATACCACTTCAATGGCATGTAAGAAGCAAGTTTAGTCATAAGCAAAGTATCAGAAGCAAATGTAGTCTATAAGTTGCATGCAAACGATCTTAGGGTCAGCTCTAGGTATCTGCAAGTTTTCTGGAAGATAGATTCATTGCAGACTTGAAAATCCCTAAGTACAGTAATATTTTGGCTTAAAACAATTTACAATGTAAATTTACAAGATAAGAAATACACACATCTTTTATACAAAGATTGTTGGTATATTCATGTATGCTAGTTTTGAAATGAAGATTTAAAATATGTACGCTGTGTGTTGCTAGATCCTTGTTTACATACACAATGATCAGTGTTTTGTTTATGCTTTTAGTGCTGCTGAAACTAATGAAATAATGTAAACTCAATTCTTCTCAACATTAACTTAATAGTACATCAAGTTGATTATCAAAAATACCTTGTCTTGAAAGTAATGCACATATTGCATTATATATTGGCCATATTTACACATTGTACTAAACTGTGATATGGTTAGTTTATGGTTCACATATGAACTCAGATATTGTGGATCATAAACTATGTTTGTTTATTGCATGAGGGAATGAAGCAAGACAGTGAAGAACCACTATGGCTTGCCAAGATTTTTCATGATGTATATCTCTGTAGATATTTTCCTCTTGCTATATGTTGTTATGGCTCTAGAATTCTTTGGATATGTTACATGAACTCAACCAACTGGGATTTATTTAATTTACTACAAGATTAAACGTTAAAAGAAGAAACTTTTGTAGTGACAACTAAGCAAATAAAATCAATTGATCCATAAATCTGAGTGTGAAAATCTTCATCTAGATGTTTATTGTTGAATAATAAAAAATAGGACAGACTTCAGATGCTTGGTAATGTATATTAAGTGCACAATTGAACCCACATTTTTAGGCAATTTTAACTGAAGTGCATCTTTCAATGAATTCCTAAGTAGAAAATATATATGATAGATGAGAAGTTTGAACACCCTTTTATTTAGTATTCTGTAAATACTTCGACAGAAATAGCAACTTCCAAATATTTCTTATACTCAACTAAGACTCTATTATTGCTTTTAAATATTTTTTCACCAACTCTTCTCTATTGAACTCTTATAGGCAATATACTTAGGGTTTCTTGCATGTTTGAGATCTCCCCAGATTTTTAATATTTAAGTCTGTGGATTATTCAGGCTATTCTAGAGCATTATTTTTGTATGTTCCAAATCATTGTCTTGTTGAAATAGCCAACCCCTGTTTTGGCTTCAATTTCTTCACTGACTGTGGGACATCAGCTTCTATGATATTTTGATATTAAGTTGAATTCATTCCTCCTTTTACTTGTATAAGTATTTTCTTTGCCACTGACTGCCACATAATCCCAAAACATAATAGAGCCATCTTGTGTCAATGGCAGCTAAGGTATTCTTTTCTTCAAATGCTTTACTCTTTTTCTCCAAATGTATGTTGTGTATAAGGTTGTGACCAAGTTGTTAATTTTTATTTCATCAGTCCAAACCCCTTTGTTCCAAAATGTTTTAGACTTGGTTCAAGTTTTTTTTTTTTTTTGCGTACCTTAGATGATGACTTTTGTGATGAAGTTGGAGAAAAAGTTTCTATTTGGTAACTATCCCTTGCAGTACATTCTTGTATAATGAATGTTGTACTGTGGACAACTTCTCCAGTGTTAGCTAAACTTTCAGCAGGTAGTTTGCAGCAATCTGTGAATTGTGTTTTGTAGATATGTCCAGTTCCAGGCAATTTTGGCAGAGATTTGTCTTGATCTTCATGCTAATGTCCCACAGCCAGTGAAGAAAATGAAGCTGAAAAGAAGTTGGATAGTTCAACAGGACAACAATCTGAAAGATACTTCCAAATCAATTATGAAGCTCTTACAGAGAGAAAAATAAAGGATCTGAAACAATCTGTAAAGTTCCCAGAGTTGAAAATTATCGAAAACCTGTGGAGAAAAAGCTGCAGCATGCCATTCATGCTAACAGTCCCAAGGATTTCTAACCTAGAAGATCTCTGCAATGAATAGTCAGGGAAAAAAGTCCAAAAGCAGCAACAGAAAAACTGGGTGGTCAGAGGAAATATTTATTTGGAAGTTGATATTTCTGCTGAAATAAATATTACAAAATATTGACTAAAAGTGTGTTTAGACTTTTCTACTTTCCACATATTTTTTTTATCCATAAAAACTGCTTACAAATAGCAAACATGCCCTGAGATTTACAGCAAGGTGCTATGCTTAACTGTTAACCATATGCAGGTTGCATTCTCTTCACTTAAGGATTCATTGAAATGTAAAAATGGGTATCCAAACTTTTGCATTCAGCTGTAAAAAACAATACTAAATTATGAACACTAAAATAGCCTTTCAAATTGCTTAGAAATTTGGACACATTCATAATCCTACGGTTTTATAGGGTATAAAAATTCAAACAGAGACTCCACAGGTTAGTTAGAAATGCCAACTGCTTATGCAACAGAATAATTCAATGTTATTCTACCTTATTTTATTTTTATCTTAGGAAACCAACTCAGCATTCCAGTTTAAGAACTTAATTCACGAGACATCAGAACTACTTAAAATAGGCTGTAAAGTTTGGGATAACATAGTTAAGTATTCAAGGCCAAAGGGAAAAGTTAATAATTACAAAAAATTAGGAATTGAGATAATTTAAGTATCTCTGGAACTTCTACTCATCATTTTAAATGTGATGCAGCATAGTACTCTTTAATGTAACATGTATACTTCAATTTTTTAAGTGTCAGTTTGAAAAAACTAAGTGGTTTGTGGTATAAGCAACAATTTGTACTTATATATATGCAATTATAGTATAACACAGCTATTCAATAAAATAGCTGTCCCTCTGTCAAAACAACTGACATAGTAAACAGAAGATACAAAGTTGTATTCCAAAAACTTCTCATGAATGTCCTGAAAGATATAATAACTGCTATAAGGTACAAATTTTGTTTTGGTCAACTGTTGGACGAAATAAAACAAAAGGTTTCAGGATTCAAAGCTTAAATGGGTCAGAATCTCTCAAAGTTATAGACAAGGTGCTTGCATAAAAAAATAATAATTCAGAAAACCTCTTGGTATTATGTTAGTTTACCATCGAACTTGTCAAAAAAATAATATTTCATTATCCTAGCCAGTTGCTCTTTCTTCTAAAAGTTTTTTTTCCTCTTTTTTTTTCAAAGTACTCAACTCAAACCCAAATTTAGAGAAGGGGTCAGAGCGACGGATGGGCAATGGTTTCATTTCTTTTCCCAGTTGCTATAGTATATGATCCACTGCCCTAAATAAACGTTTTTTTTTACTTCCACGCAGCGCCTCCCTCTCTGTCAAACCTTCATTCACCTCAATACTCTCAAACCACGATCGGGACGTTTTGGGAACCAAGTAGGCGAGCAAAAACCCCGCTTTTTGTCCCCGTGGAAACTCAGGCGCTTCATCGCCCCCTTCATCCTCACGTGTGTGTGTGTGTGTGTGTCTCTCTCTCTCTCTCCCAACCTCCCGATTCCCAGTTTATTCTGTAGCTGTTACTACAATGCCTTGCTCGGAATCCAGGCGGAGGGACGCTCCACGCCACCGGCAGGACCCCGCGCCCTCTGCTCCCTCCTTGGGGTCCTTCGGCTTCTATTAGCCCCAGCTCCACGCATCCCTTGCGGGCCCCTTCCCAAGCCAGCCCACCCTTCTTCCCCGGGTCAAGCCCCATAATCTCCGCCTTAAGGTCCCAAAAGTCCCCTCACCCTGGCTGCCCCCCACCCCCACCCCGCCCGCCCGCCCCCTGGCGCCTCTCCCGCACCAGCCCGCACTCACATCGGCTCCAATAACTTGGCCAGCCAGGACTTGAGCGCGTCCACGTTCTCTATGATCATGGCGAGGAGGGTCGCGGCGGTGGCGGCGGCGCTGCAGTTACACTTCGGGCAACATCCCTCCTCCCTCCTCCCTCCCCCCGCGTTGACTCCGGTCCCTTCTTCCCTCTCCCGCCAAGTAGTCCCTCGCCAACAGCAACAGCAGCAGCAGCACTCTAACTCTCGCCCCTCCCCCGTTTCGCCGAGCCTGGGCCTAAGTCAGACCAGGAACTAGCTAAACCGAGAGGGCGCAACGTAACGTGCTGGGTATCGGAGAAGGGGCGGGCACCCGGTTTCGCAGCGGAGCCAATCGGACGACGGAGCCTCGAGGAAAGGCAGCCAATCGCGCGACAGCGCCCCCGAGCGAAGGAACCAATCCGAAAGCTGCTGGGAGTACAGTAGCAAGGGAGGTGTGGGGGGAAAACACCGGTGGGAGGCCTCAGCAGGTTAGGTCGAGCCAACACGCGTTGAAATCTTTGTAAAGAGAGCTCCTAATTCAGGAGAGCTGCTGCTGCCGAAGCGCGGGTGGTTGGGATACGTGAAACCACGCAGCGTAAAAAGTGTGTTTCCGAGCCTTTGGCGAATACATTCCTAACGTACAACGCACGTTAATCGGGCATAGAGCGAGTCGGAAATGAACTGCGTTCTGTGCGCGGAGTCGCGTTAATTTCCCAAGGGTGAATTTTTTTCACGCTATTTTCAGCAAATGCGTGGTGATTGACATTCGCATTAGGAAGGAATTTGTATTGAGTTCGCGAACGATTCTCTTTATGTATAGGTGTATACTCTAGAGCCACATTAAATTGCACATGGCTACAGTCGCGCCTCCCAACAATTCTCATACTTGCTAGCATAGGATATAACTTCAGGCATGTGATAAGGTTAAAAACTAAGATGAAAGCTGATATGCCATAATTTTAGATCGTCTAAATCCCCCAAGAAACAACATGTACTATGTGAGGAAAGCAATATCTATTAATAATCAGTCATTACATTTAGTAAACGTATTTTACCAAAATACCAAAAACATGTATTTACCAAAATATATATGATTTGTACACTCATCATGTACAGTATTTACCTACACATGCACAGAAAAGTGATAGTGGTATAATAGTTTAAATTTTTGGAACAACTTTAAATCCTCTTTCAGCTATGGATACCCAATGAATTAGGCCAGTCACTCTTAGCCCAATCTACTTTATTGTGTTCTAGGAATAAAATTAAGAGAAATACAGTATCTTAAATACTTTGAATTCCTGACTATAATGAAATTAACATCAGCAACTGGAAATTGTATACAAAGACATGCATTTGACCCTTCCCATTTATGCTATTCCTAATATTTATTGATAAAAGTTTAAATAAGCCAAATGTAGCCAAAGAATGTAATTACAGTAAACAGTAAACTAAAGAAAAAATTAACATGAGGATAAAAATAGGTATTTCTAGAAAAATGGAGTGTTATACAACATTGATGTTTCTTCACAGTTCTTTTGTTTAAAATAATTTTCTTATAAACCTTGCGCACACACTAAAGAAATAGAAGATGGCTTTTTGCATTTATACTTATATGCAGTTAAAAAATTAGGAAATAAAGCCCACTGAAATCAGTATTAGTTAATTAGTAATACTTAATTGTTAATAAGCAATATTATTTTTGCTGTACTATACTGCACATACATAACAATATGCACAGGGAATCAAAGCACTAACAAAATTAGACTTATCTTGTGCAGTAATAGATAAGAATTTTTTATTGGCCAAGTGTGATTGGACAAGGAATTTGTCTGGTGCATATGCTCTCAGTGTACATAAAAAGAAAAGATACATTTGTCAAGAATCATAAGGTACAACACTTAATGATAGTCATAGGGTACAAATGATGCAGTAATAGCATTCAAAATATGACAGGAAGCGCCTTTTTAATTTCTAAACCCAAACCACCTCTCATTTAGGCATTTGGGAAACTAAAATAGTTCAGATTCATTTGTCTTAGCACTGTATCAGCAAGTATCAGCACTGAAAATCCCTTCAGTGAAAAATTACTTCCAAAGATGCTTTAGGTCTGCGATAGGTCTTTCTCATCAATACCGCATGATTTTTTTCATATGAACAAGGATATGTTACTTAGTAAAAATATGCTGTGCCTCAGGGACAATTTTGAAAGCTTGTATATACTTTTAACAACAAGAGAGGGTTTAATAAAATCCTTTATCTCTTGGAATGCTTTTTCACTTTAAGAAACATTGCAATATGATATCAAATTGAACATCAAGTGGCACCGAAAAGCTTCTTGGATATATCACAACTCTTGCATACTTAGCAAACTTTCAGAAACAAATATAGGATAGTTTTGTCAGTGAGCCTCACATAGGACTACAGTGCATGCAACTTGTTTTTGCTCCTGCAAAATGCATTCCTTTAGCATGCATTTTAGAATCAAGTCCTAAATGATAGTGCTCATATAATCCAACCAACGTGAATATCCAAATTATAATTAGTTATATTTACTTTACGGCTGGAAGGCTTTTTTTTTTTCAGTAGGAAGAAAAGTATTTAAAAACAAAAGAATGCAAACAGAATCAACACTGATTACATTTGCCATTTTGCAACAGCTTCTGAAAAGTTATACAAGTTATTTCACCTCTATTCCTCCCGCTTCGCTTATGACATCAAATATACAATAAACACAATATCAGAGACTGAAACTTAAGATTTGGATACTCCTATTGGTCAGCATCGATAGGTTTCATCCTCTCGGTGCATTATGGGAAACGTATTCAATTCCAAGACCTCGCGGTTTGTGAAAAAAAGAAAAATCCCACGCGACAAGCTCTTGTAAAGTAACGCTTGGCTTGTAGCGAATTGTAGTTCAGCTGGCGGGTACCGTGCACTGTGTTAGCTCTGCGCAAACTCAACATCCCAAAAGTCTTCGCGAAGGAACCGGATCCATCTTTATTTTAAATGCATTGTGGGAGAACCGGCGGCGTGGAGCTGGGGGCGTAAACTGCAGGTGGAAGTCTTTCAGACTCTCGAGGAGCGATGACGGTGAATATCGGGTGACGGCGTTTGCCTGGATTGATTTTAGGGGGCTAGCTAGCAATTGGGCCAGGAGTATGGATCGGAGGATGATCTGTCAACGGAAAAAGCAAAAAAAGGGGCGAATGGGCCGCCCCCCCCTTCCTTCTTATGCTGTCATTTATCGAGATATACCCTTCACTTAGAAAGGGACTGGTTGGAATATTCCGGGTTAAATTCCATGTGGTTTATAACCTAATACTAAATAAGCAAAATTGCAGGGATATTTACAACGGGTAGCATAAAATGGCTCTTCCTGAGAATTGCCCGAAATCCCCGCAATCTTTGCTAGACATCTGGTTGGGGAAGGTTGACCTAATGGAGCGTTCTCGTTCCCTCCCTTGTATTTCAGTTCCCATATTCCTCAGCGAGCATGCTGACTGGGGATTAAGGGAATTGACTGAATGCCTTTATGACGTCTAGATTATCCTGTGCTGGAGGCATCTTGAAAACAAGGATAAAAGAATACATGGAAGTCTCGTTTCAAATATTTCCTGTTTGCCCTGTTATTATTTTGCTTGGGTTTATTTGGATTAACTGGATGACTTTCTGGTTAGTATCTCATGTGCAAACTTTAACAAAAGAAAGGTCTTTTGCACAAGTCTTTAGGAAACCTTGCCCAATTTGCAAAGTGAGGACAAGAGTTCAATTTTTTTGACAGCTGTCTTTTTGTGAAACTGTTACAGATATTAGATTTCTGTTTTCAAAAATAAAAATTCTGGTGACTCTTAAGAGTATGGATTATGCTGCTGTTAGTACAAACTAGTAAGATGTGTTGGTTTTATATATAATAAAAGTATTATAGTAAATTTCACCCATATTTCAGAGTGAGACATTGATCGCTTTATCCTAAGTGTGATTGTCTGATGAATGAAAATAATAGTTTTTGAGATACCTGATTTGATTGTTTTTGCTCTTGCTTGAGTTCATTTTGTTTGCCTGCTATGAGGGTTGGTTAGCTGTTTTGCTTTGATTGTAAGCTGCTGTTTAACCAAAAGGGAGAAGTAAATATGATTTGATAAATTCACAGTGCATTTTAGGTGTCATTGGAGTTGTCATGTAAATTTCCAACTGATATGCTGATTGTAACATAATACTTTTTTTACTTTGCCTTTTGGTTCAGTACATAGCAATATGACAAGTGGAACTTGGGGCTTTTCTGCTTCTGCTTTTCTGCCAGATTCATATTCAGCTTGCATAATATCCCAGGCTATTATTTATATTTACCAACGATGGTTGCACATCTCCAATTGTCATACAGAAGGGAACAGGGTATCAAATAAAATCAAGCAATTTGTCTCAAATTGTGAAACACAATTTCCATTTTTAAAAAGACTTTCCTTTTAGGCTAATACAAATTGTCCTTACTTAGTGAGCCATCATACAGCAACCATTAAAAGTTACAATGGTGTTAAAAAAACCCTTACAGTTGGTCCACAATGTTGTGGCCATTACAGCATTCCTGCAGTCATGTGATTACAATTTGGGTGCTTGGAAACTAGTGCACATTTATGACATTTGCAGCATCCTGCTGTCATTTGATCACCTTTGCAACCTTCACAGCTAATTTCCAACAAGCAGAGTCAATGTCAATGGGAAAGCTGGCAGGAAGTCCCAAGTCACAGTTATATGGCATTGTGTTTAATGATCTTGGGTGATTCACTTAATGACTGCAGCAGGAACTGATGTCATAACTGACATCATAATTGTCACATGCTGTTTAACTTTTATGTCTTAACAAGACATTATTATGTCTTATCGCTTAACAAGCCATTTCCAATTGTGATTGGTAAGTGAGGGCTAACTGCATACTCTTTAACACTGCAAATGCTATCAAACATCTGCCAAATAGAAAAATAATAGCACAACTTACAATTGAATAAATGTGAAAATATGATCAATTTTCATATTTTCACTTCTTTAGATAATTGGGACTTTCATTATCCAATCAATATGAAGGTATAAATCCCCAACTAATATATAGTAGATTATTTTTAAAATGTGACAAGAACTAAAATGAATTACTGAACTGGCACAACTTGATCTTTTGCAGGTTTAAATTTCTTAAGAAAATAAGGACTATCTGAACTCAAATGAAAAGGAGGGCAGTAATTTTATTTTATTGATAATATTTGTAAGTTCATAATATTTTTGAAATTTTTATAAGAGATAATATCTGGATAATATTGTAG